TAAGATTACAAGGCATTCCCCAATATTGTCAAAGGATATAAACCAACAGTTCTCAAGAGAATTGCAGGTTACTAACAATTAAATGAAAGAATGCTCCAAATCACTAGAGTACAATGGAGTGAGTGACTGACAAGGCTGGCCAAAGAGGGCCCAATCCCTGGAACATCAATACATTTGTTCTTCCTATTGAGTTACTTGGAGCATCTACAATATCTCCCTGCCTTCTTCCAACGCAACACATGGAGCCTTCGTGAGCCTACTCCCAGCTATGAGTGACTGAAGGAATGTTACTCTGTGAAGTCTCAAATACAACCAGTGCTAGTACCAAAAACCACCGGGGCTGGACACAATAGTGGCTGAGTTCGGTGAAGAGCCAACCCTGAAAAGTAACCTGCTTGATTCCTGTCAACAGCACATTGACAGAGACACTGAAATACTAATCCTTCAAAGAACTAGCCCAGCCAAGCAAGGGAGTGATTCATCCAGAAAGGAGATTAACATTGAGAAGCAAACTTGGTGGGGACTCCAAGAAAGGGGAAAACGCCAAGTGCCAGGAGTTATGAGGTACTCCATTGCCTCACAGGTTCTCTTTATGTGTTCCTCACTAACATGGTGCTTTTTATTATTTTCTAAATTTTTGGCTAAATTGCTTTTATTAGATGGAATATTGACAGAGTATAGGTTACACTTTTTCTAAATTTATCCAATTTTTTAAAAATTGCTTTATTTTTTTCCAATTACACGTAAAAACAAATTTTAACATTCTTTTTTTTTTTTAATGTTGAGTTCCAAATTTTTTTCCTCCTTTCCTCCTCTCTCTACTCATTGGGAAAGCAAGCAATTTGATTTAATTTGATTTAAGCAATATGACATGTGCAATCATACAGAACGTATTTCTACATTAGTCATATTGTGAAAGAAAATACAGAAACATAGTACTTTTTAAAGCTTATCTGTTCTTCTCAGAGACTTTGTATGTTCAAGGAGAGAAGGTGCCTTTAAGTTTTTGAGTACTGTTTGTTCTCAGTAAAAATCCCTTTTATAATAGCTAACTGATATCAGCTGGTTGATTCTAAATTGGAGGAAGCATGCCAGATGGGGACTCATGGAAAAAAAAAAGCATTAGAAGCTACAACCTCTCAAGTTCAGCCTAAAAATCTTTAGGGGAGCAGTAGACATTGCCTTCTGGCAACCCAATCTGCCAGTTGAAATTGGGGTTGGAAGAGAGTCCAGAGAAGCACAGCACTAATAATAACAGAAAGGCGAATCAAAAGAACAAGGAATTTCATCTCATACCAAGAAAACTGGCAAAAACGACAAAGATAGGAAGAGTCAATGTTTAGAGAAGCTGTGGAAAGACAGAAACACTTTTAATGCTCTATTGTTGGAGACGAAAATTGATACAACCATTCTGAGAGGAAAAAATTGTAATTACATGAAGAAAGTGACTAAAATGTCCAAAAGGGGCACTCTGACCCAGAAAGTCAATTGCTAGACTTATATCCTAAGGAAGTCAGTGATAAAAAGAAATATCTCATTTGCACCAAAATATTTCTAGAAGCCCTTTTCTTTATAAAGAACTGAAACAAAGTAGATGCCTATCAGTTGTGGAATTTCTAAACGTGTTATGGTGTAGGAATACAATGGAATATTACTGTGCTGTGAGACATGAAGAATTTGATCAATACAGAGAAGCATGGGAAGACATATGAGCTGATAAGTAAAGTCAGCAAAAGCAAGAATTACTGCTTTTCAAATATCTATGGCACTATAAATGAAAAGAACAAACCAAATGAAAATGAAGGCTATGAAGTTACAAAGACCAAGCTTGGCTCCCAAAGAGATATAAGGTCCTTCTCCATTTTTTGCAGAGCTGGGGCACTATGGGTACTGAACACAGAAAATACTATCAGACTTATCTTTCTGTTGATTAGTTTTGCCAAACTGTTTTTTCCCCTCTTTTTTATTCAAGTGATAGCTTCCTAGGAGCGCTGACTACCAAGAGGAAGTATAGAAAAGGTGATACAAAAACAATATATAAATAAAAATATACCTAGGGAAGGTTTCATGAAGGAGGCTGGGCCTTGAAGAAAGGGAAGAATTGAATAGGCAGAATTCAGGTTGGGGAGGGTTGTTTATCCCAGGCATAAGTCATAGTATGTACAAATGAACAAAGGCAGGAAAGGATAGGATGAAACTGAGGTATTGATGGTGAATTGGGTGGAACATAGAATAAATAAAGAGATGTGAGGAGGAGCAAAGCTGGAAAGTCAGATGGAGGCAGATTTTAGCTGGCCTTGAATACCGTTTTATTCAGTAGGCGGAGGGAGCCTCTAAACATGGGGGTGATACAATCCACTCGAATACTTTCATTTTACTTTACTTTTAAAAGTTTTATTGCTATTTAAAAACATAACATTTCATCATATTCTCTGCCCTGTAAACTTACCTTACAATAAAGAAAAAAGTTAAGTAAAACCAACCAATGCAGCAACATATATCCATGTTTTCCTGCTCTGTCTACTAACAGGAAGGAGGAGTATTTCATAATCTGGCCTGTGGAATCAATGTTCTTCTTTGCATCGAGGCTGAGTTGAGCAGCCCATTTGGGTTGTTTTCATTTACATAATTTTTGTCATTATGTATATAATGTTATTTTAGCTGCGCTTCCTCCACTCTTCACGTCTATCTAAGCCTATGAGTTTCCAAATCTATACCTTGTTTTCTGACTAATAATTTTGTTCACGCAAAAGTTTTTCCGTGTAATGAGAGTGTTTTAGTTTTTTTGATTTGGTTAGGAAATCTCAGCCTAGCCACAGATCTGAACGGCACCTCTGTCAGTTATCTAATTATTGCGATGTTTCCTTTAATCTTATGGTCCTTTATCCTTTAGGAGCTGATAGTGTATTACAGGACAAGTTTTTGCTCTTAACCTGCTTTCTGCCAGTTTTCCCAGCATTTCTTTTGGAATAGAGCTCTTTCTCCAGTAGTTTGTGTTGGGTTCATTGAATACTGTGCCACTGTTTTTATTTGCTTCTACGTTTTATTTAGCTAGCTAGTTCCACTGATCTTTTTCTCTGTTTTAAACAGTTTCAAATTGTTTCGCTATTATTTTGTGGTATAATTCATTTTAGCATTTTCATTATTTCTATTATAATTAATCACTTGTTTTTTTCAATGTCGACATTATTTTGTCCAGTTCTACAAAGTAATCCTTCAGTAATAAGATTTATTGGATTAAATCTGTAAATTAACTTAGGATGTCATGTGCATTTTTATTATATTAATTAGTTCAGCCTAGCCATGAACAATGAATATCTCTTTATTGTCTTTCTTTACTTCTGTAAAGAGTGCTTTGTAGTTGCATTGTGTGTGCTTGTAAGTTTACTCCCAGGTATTTGTGCATTTTATAATTATTTTGTATAGATTCTAAAAAATGTTCCTCCTGGCTTTTTGATATATACATTTTGATATACAGATATACAAAAAGGGCTGGTGATTTTCTTGCTTTATTTTTTATTCTGCTTCTTTACTGAAGTTACTGTTTTGACCTTGTTGTTGTTGAATCTCTTGGGCTGTTTAAGTAAATCAGGCAATTGGTAAACATTAAGTGCCTACCAGGTGCTAGGGGTTGTGCTATGCTAAGTAATCCACCATATTGTCAACAGGCCTCTTTTTTAGTATATAGTAATATATTTATATTACTATATGCTAAGTCTTAAATTCTTAAAATACATGCAAATATTATATTGAACATATCTTAAACATTCAAAATACACATGTGTATTAATATACTGTTTGTATTATATATGTTACATATTATATATGCTATTTTTGTTGTTCAGTAGTTTCTGATTCTCTATGACCCCCATTTGTGGTTTTCTTGGCAAAGATATGAGAGTGGTTTGCCATTTCATTCTCCAGCATGTGTGTGTCTGTGTGTGTGTGAATTGGGGTTAAACAACTTGCCAGCAATCACACAGCTAGGAAGTATTATGTGTCTGAGGCCCATTTGGACTCTGGTCCTCCGACTCCAGGGCCGCTGCTCTATCCACTGCACCACCTACCTTCCCTGCCCCCCCCAGCTCATTTTACAGATGAGGAAACTGAAGCAAACAAGGTTAAGTCACCTGCCCAGGGTCACACAGCTAGTGTCTCAGGCCTAATTTGAAGTCATGTCGGTGAGGAACACGTAGAGAAGATATGGGGCAATGGGGCACCTCAACTCCTGGCACTGGGAGTGCTCTATTCGCTGCACACCACATAGGTGCTATATATTTTATATATCTAACATTACATGACATGTCATGTATGCTATATACATATTTGTTCCAACTGCCAGGAAGGGCTGAAGCCGGCACTGCGCAGCACTCAGAGCTTGGTCAGACATCTGGGACGCCAGGGTCACCCTGCCTTGTCCTGGCACCGGACCTTGATGGCTCTGGAAGGGAGGGGGCGGCTGACCACTCAGCAGCTCTACCTCACTTAGATCCACTTCAAGCGCGAGGCAAGACATCACCCCCTGACGTCACGGGTCCCTGAGGGCCGCCAACAATATAAAGTATACGTTAGAAGTACCTACACATCTGCACCAACCATCTATTTCTCTCTCTCCAATCTGTCATACATACATGCCTCCCATGTCCCACAGTCCTTTTCCTCCTCTCTCTCACCCTTCTCCCCTTTGCCCGCCCTCCAGGACCCAAGTCACTGGCCCGAGACAGAAGCTTCACAAGGGCATTTCTGCCAGGACTTATTTCCTCCTCCAGTTCAAGGCTGGCTCTGCGCACGCTCTCAGTGGGCCCCGCCGCCGCCCGCATCCGGCTCCTTTTTCCCAGGGAGCCCTGCGGCTGTCCTCCGGGAAGTCGCTCTCTGCTTCCGGAGTTGTAGAGGCGGCCTTGCCTAGTCCTTTTGGGTTGCTCGATGCTGTTGCCATGGAGACAGTTCCCCGGAAATGGGGCCGGCCCGGGGCGCTCGCCGTACCTGCAGCCGTGTGCCGGGCGGCGGCGGCGGGTGGGGGGCATGGCGGGCGTGAGGCGCTGGGCCCCACCGAGTCCGTGACTAGCTGCGCCTCCTAGCGGGGAACCCGCCGTTCCCGGCTCCCGAGGGCCCCCCACCCGGCCGCCACTATGTTACAGGAAATCAGTGAGCAGAGCTCGGAAGCGGTAAGGGAAGGAAGCCCATCCCCCCCCCAGCTCAACTGCCACCCTCCGCCTCCGTGATGCGATGCATGCTGTGGGTGGCGAGGGGCGTGGGTGCACAGCGTAGGCCGTTGGAGGACCTGGTTCGAATCCTGCGTGTGATGTTTACCCTCTTGGTTCGCTTATTTGCCCTCCCTAGGCCTCAGTTTCTCCCTCTGTAAAATGAGGGGGAAGGGGGCTGAATAACCTCTGAGGGCCCTTCCAGCTCTAATAATAAGCTGAGAGAGAGTGTTCCAGAAGAAAGCTCGAAGTTAAGCTATGAAAGCTTGAAAAGGCACTGAGTCTTTTGGGACGCGTTATTTTTTTTTAAGTGTTTTTATCTGTTATTTCATTTGGACCTGGCAAAGGAAGTAACAGTTTCATTTCATCTGTTCTTTCTTTGAAGTTGGGGGGGGGAAGGATTTAGAGCTGGAAGGGACCCTCATATAGGCCAATCTCCTCATCTTCATTTTACAGATAGGAGGTAGGGTGTGAAGTAACTTCCCCAAGGAAATAAATGGCAACGCTGGGATTCAAGCTCAGCTTCTTGTGTTCTTTCAATTCCTGTAACATTCCATAAACTCATAGAATTTTAGAACTGAAAGTGAACTGAGAGATCATCTGGTGACCAGATTCTAGTCCAGTCCCTTCATTTTGCAGAGGTGGCACCTGGAACCATGAGAGGTTAAGTAACTTGCCAAGGGTCACACATCTAGAAAAACCCAGCGAAGCCTAAAATTTTAACCAGGGTCCTGGAAGTCCAAACAGGTCTAGAGTTTTCTCCCTGTACCACACTGCCTCTTATTGTTTATCCTATTGTCCTCTTTTAATATGTTTGTTTTGCTTCCCAAGTAGAGCCTATTCTTCTCGAGGTGAGAGATTATACTTTGGGATTCTGTATGGTCAGCACAGTGTTGGTGACATTTAACTCAAATGTTTATTAAATACTTACCAGTTTAGATTCTAAACTTTAGAGCACTAGGATGGGGAGTGATACAGCATTTAGAGAAGACAGTATCTCTGTCTTCTTACATGGACAGCTATAAAACATAAGTACTTTTTATTGTCATTTTCTTTCTTTTCTTTCTTTTTGTTGGTGAGGCAGTTGAGGACTTGGCCAGAGTCGCACAAGCTAGTGAGTATTTTGTGTCTGAGGCCAGATTTGAACTCAGGTTCTCCTGACTCCAGGGCCAGTGCTCTATCCCCTGCACTATCTGCTGTGCCACCTAGCTGCCCCTGTTTAGTCATTTTCATTTGTGTCCAACTCTGTTACCCTCTTTGGTGTTTCCTTGGCAAAGATGCTGGAGTGGTTTGCCATTTCCTTCTCCAGATCATTTTATAGATGAGGAAACTGAGGCAAACAGAGTTAAGTTTGCCTGGGGTTATACAGATAGCTACGAAGTGTCTGAGGTCAGATTTGAATTTGGGAAGATGAGTCTTCCTAACTCCAGAGTGCCCAGCACTCTAGCCATTGTGCTACTTTAGAGAAATCTTTAAAAAAAAAAAAGTAGGCTCTGAGGCCACACATCTAAAGGCTTCTTTTGAGTTGGCCTTTAAAGACATTGTAGGAATTCAATAGGAAAAGACAGCTCAAGAGGACGTATAGCAGAAGGTAGGAGACAGAGTAGGTCAAATTGATTGGAGCGTAGGATACCTGGAAAGGGGTGGGATAAGATAAGACTGGAGAGGTAGTTCAAGACTCAGGAGGACTTTGAATGCCTGACAAGTTTGAACTTTATTCAGTATACAACAGGGAGTCACTGAAGATTTTTGACATGAGTAAGTGACAAAACCTGATCTTTGCAGGAGGAAGATTAATCTGGTAGAGGTGGATAGATGTATGGTTTGGAGGAATGAGAGTGAAAGCTGGCAGTCTCTCAGGATGCTTTTGTGGAAATCCACGCATGTGGTAATAACATCCTTTACTAGGGCTGAAATTGTTGGAATTGAGAGGATGCTTGTGAGATTTGGAGGTAGAAGCAAGGATCACAAAATTCACTAGGTAGATATGAGATGTGAGAGAGGAGAAAACCAAGAGCAATACTAAAGTTTCAAATATAGAGGCCAGTTGAGTGGTGGTGCCCTGAAAAGAGAGAGCAAAGTCAAGAACAGTAATAAAGTTGACTTTGGACATGTTAAGTTTGAGGTAGAACATCAAGGTGAAAGTGTCTTTTTGTCATTTGGAGAAGTCCAAAGAGTCTGTAGCACAGAGGTCAGATCAGTTGAGATTCATCTTCATGGAGGACATGGTTGAAATTATGAGACTATAAGAAAATAGTAGGAAGGGAGGGAACAAACACTAACCTTAAGGAATGAGGAGAAGGAGGAGATTTTAAAAAGTTACAAAGTAGAGGTGAGGTGGGAGAAACAGATGAGTTTGGTAATTTTGAATCCAAGGGAGAAGTCAGTATCCAAAAGGAGTACATAGAAAGTCAGAGAAGATCTAAAAGAAAGGTAATTTTATTTGTCATTTAGGAACTCATTGGTGGCCTTTAAGAGCGACTAGTTTTAGGAAAATGATGTGGACACAAGCCAAATTGCAAAGCATTAAGAAGGCAGTAGATGGTGAGGAAATGAAGGTGGAGGATAAACTATTTCCAGAAGTTTGTAGATGAAGGGGAGAAGACATAGGGAATTCAGTTTAATCCAGCTCATATTGAAGTGCCTGCCATCTGTGTGTGAGGCACTATATTAGTTTCTAGAAATACAGAGACAAAGAAAGAAACCATACTTATCCTCAATGAGCTTACATTTTACTAGAGGATATTAAATGTAAGGAGCTTAAAATGTAAGCTCTTTTGAGGGCTGAAGTGGTTTCATTTTTGTCTTTTTATCCTCAGTGCCTAGCACATAGTAGGCACTTAATACTATATTATTATATATACTATATATAATATAGTATATATAATAATATTATAATATATAATATATATTAAACTAATATATGATACTATATTATAAAGAAATGTTTCATTTATATTTATGTTATAAATAAATGTTTATTGATAGATTGAACATGTACAGAGATGGAGAATGAGGAAAGCTTTCTATAGGCATATATATGAGCCCTACCATTCAGTGCTCCTGAGCTGAGTCTTGATTGAAGACTACAGAGACTCAATGCAACCAGAATACTCTTTCAACATCAAAGAGAGATCCAGCACAGCTTATATAGTGGCACAGTACCATCCTTGCCCCACTCCCATCACCAAGACGGTTGTGACGGAAGAAGTCCTGTTTCCTTATGGTTAACAAACTCCTATACCTCTTACTCTCCCAATTCCAGTGAAGATTCTACTGCCTAAGAGTAAACCACCCTTTCCAACCCTACTCTTTTCTCATCTTCTACTTAACCCTATCCCTCCAGTGAAAAGACTGCCTACTCTTTTTACTGTGCTCTCTGGAATTCCCGTTCCATAATTAATGAGCTTCCCTTCACTTTATACTTCTTTTTCTCCTCTTTCTGCCTTCTGGAATTCTCAGAGAGTTGGCTTCTCCAAAATGATACCATCTGGCCATCCTTTCCATTGCTGGTTACACTGTCTCTCATATCTCCCAACACACACATCTTTGAAGAGAAATTTAAATGCTGTTTTATTCCCATTGTCATTTCCAGACTTTCCCTCTGCTCCCGTGGTTCAGCAACTTCTCTTTGGAAATTCACTCTATCCAAATTTATTACCCAATCTAGAACCTAGTGGCTTTTTTCAGCCAGCCCCCATATCATTCTTCCTCTTCTCAAGAAATTCAGTATCTGGCTCATAGACTTTTTAACTATCTCAACTCCTTCTCTTAGTTACACCAGGGGACTTAACTTGATACTCAAACACCTCAATTGAGGAACCAGTTCTTCAATCTCTTCAAGTCCCATGACCTATTCTTCCTCTTCTTCCCTTCCCTGAGTCCGATGGGCAGCACACAGGGAAGGTTTTACCCTTCATCTCACCATCACCTGCAAGTGTTCCACTTCAGTGATAAAGAACTCTAAAATTCCTTTATTTAATCATAACCTTCTCTAATTTGCTTTGCCTTACTCCTCCTAAAACTATTCTTACCTTCACTGTGAAGGTAAACATTTTACCCCTTAGTCTATCATCCATGTTCTGCTTTAATTTCCTTCTTTCACAATCTTGACTCTTTAGTATCCTCTCCTTCCTAGACCTTTGCTCTCACAGTCTTATTAACTCTGACACCAAGTCAAATCCCAACCCTAAATTACTTCTACCATATCCCTCCTCAGTATATCCTCTAGTTAGCTGCCAAAGTGATCTTCCTAAATACAAATGATGCTGAGAAACTATGAGATATGGAGGAGGGAAGTTATGGGGAGCTTCTGTTGGATGTCCCTAGTCTTTTCAGTGAAATAAGAGGTTATAATTTGCTGTAAATGTTAAGGATAAGGATGTACTTCATAGGATCATAGATTAGAGCTGGAAGGGACCTTGGATTTTATCAAGTTGGGAGCTTGAAAGAAGAAAAGGTTTGGAACAGTCACTGGAGAATTTTCTAGGGAGTTGAATTGTAGCTCAAGAGATTTGTCAAGAAAGTGTGAGAGTTAAGCTATCTTGATTTGACCAGATCTGTGATTTCATCAGTATAGAAACTTCCACTACTAATGCATATCAGTAACTGATAAGTAATACTTGTATATTGCCTGAAAAGCATTGAGAAGTGACTTGCTCACAGTACCCTAGCTAGTCCATGTCTTCCTCACTGCAAGGCTAGTTCTACCTATACCAAGTAAACCATCTTGTTTCTCAAACTCCTTATATGCCCATAAATTTGCAGTGGGTAAAATCAGCTCAATTTAGTGGTGGTGATTATGAAAGCTCAAGGGAGGAAGGAATGGATAAGATGTGCCTGAATCATAGGATCATAGATTTAGAGTTGGAAGGGACCTTAGAGGCCATTGAATTAAACCCATTCCTTCATGTTACAGGTGATGAAATAGGCTGAGGGGTTAAGTGAAAGAAGAACGCATCACCTTAATGTAGGTAACCCCTTAAGCCTGGTAGGAATTGAAGCACTAGGTTGAAATACCTTAGTAGACCTGTTTAACTCTCTATTAACTTTGAATTGGTTATATGATTTATGGATTATCTACATCCTCCACCAAACTCATGCTGTCCAGTTATGTTCCAGAAGAATTAAGAGGGGTCAGAGTTTACTTAGACCTGTATAAGGGTATATTCTCAAAGTCTCATTTGTCTCACTAAATTTCCAATTAGGGTTATATATTTTATATCACTTTTTTATCCTGTAGTTTAGATCATGAAGGATGGATTAGAGTAGTTGAATTGTGAAGTTATCTCTAGGTTAGTTTTCAAAATAATGTAACATTCTGCACAATAATGGGTTTGAGCCTTGTAATTTAATCATCAGATAGGGATTATCCTGAGTGAAAAGGGTCTGCTTTACTGACATCAAAGTTCTTAACTCATCTTTTCTGCAAATCTGTCAGAAAAAGTTTGTAGGAATTGAAAGCAAGAGTGTAGAAATACTGTAACAGTATGCAAATGCCCTGATTTTTTTGTCCTCCTCCTGTGAAACAACCCATCATGTCCCTGTTTAGGCATTGTGCATAGTGTTATCACAGCAGGGAGTAGAATGATTAGCTGAAGAGATGTAGTAGTATGTTAATAAAGGAGCTGAGTAATAACATGACAGGTATGCTACAAGGAATTCTTCCTTTGGGGAATTAAACACTGTATGTGGTACTCATCCCTCCTCCATCTGAAATTATGTCAGTAAATGATGTCTTTCATTCTCTCCTTTTATCCCTACCCAGTAACATTTCCTTGCTTCACCAGGTTCTCATTTTCATTCCTTTAAAAAAAAAATTCTTCAATCAAATCAATTCACTGTAGGATAGAGATGATGACCAGAAAGGACCATGAAAAGAACAGAAGCACCTAAATTGACTGTGTAAGCAATAAGGATGGTGTCTTTTATTTAGGGTGTTGGAATCAGTCAGTCAACAGATATTTATTAAGTGCCTACTAAGTGCAGGATCTGTGCTATTAAGTGTAGGATTTTGATTTGATCTGGTCAAATCAAGACAGCTTAACTCTCACACTTTCTTGACAAATCTCTTGAGCTACAATTTCAACTCCCTAAAAAATTCTCCAATGACTGTTCCAAACCTTTTCTTCTTTCAAGCTCCCAACCTGAATAAAATCCAAGGTCCTTTCCAGCTCTAATCTATGATATAATGACAAAGTTTAGACAGTCTCTGCCTTCAATGAGTTTACATTCTACTGGAAGAACTTAAATATGGGATTGAGGGATCCTCTCAACCCATTGCAGTTGCTTGCATTTGAATAATTTGCAGTGTAGTGCATCTGGAGTCAGAAGACCTAGATTCACAACCCATTTCCGTTGCTTACTGCCTTCAATGTGATTAATGAGCAAATATCTTCACCCTGCTGGGCCTTGATTTCTTCAGCTGTAAAATGAAGGAATTTAACTAAATAATCTCAGAGGTTCTTTTCTAGCTCTAAATCTAATGATTTGAAATCATAAAGGAAGAGAGTAGAACTATTGCATTCTCATAGTACTATGGAACATATCATGGTACCAGCCAACACTGTTGATATTTGATAACTATTAATTGAATTTTGAACAGAAACATGTTTTTGAAATTATTGGGCAGAGCGAAAGAAGATATTCTAAGACTTGTCATAATATGCTTTTACTTCAAAATAACCCATGTCTTTATCATATGGGACTACTTTAATTAGTACTGTTCTATTTCAGACTACTAAATGATCATCATTTGTTCCCTTGTTGACATAAATGGCCACAATGAAGCTATCTTCTCTTTTTAGGGTTTGTTAACTGGGGTGTAGAATTTTTAGGGAGACTAGACCAAAGGTTAGAAGCAGATGGATGTCCCTGGTGGATGCTGCAATTACTTTAGATTCTTTACGTTGTTGAAATGTTTATGCATAATCTTGTAATCAGACATTTGTCTTGGCATGGGTTGAACATTTTGACCTTATTTAAGGTGAAGCACCTGGTGCTGAAAATCAAATTTTACAGTAGGTGTTTTTATTATATGGAGATTATCCAAATCCAGGTAATAATATGTTATTATAATAGAATCAGATATCTATAGCAACTATAAAATAGATGAGCTATAACAGTTGCCATGCACATCTGAATAAATTTTGTAGGACCAACAAAATTATTGTACTGTGCATAAAACACCAATAGTTAACCTAGTAAATGATTTTTTTCAACAGCCCCCATTCATTTGAAATGGAGTAGGACTCTAACAGCATATTATTACCTAGACTTGAATACCTACTGTAAAATCTGAATATAACATTGTTAGTCTTATAATATAGATGTTAGTCCTAATCTTCAGTACTTTATCATCAGATAAAGGTATCCATTATATTCAAAAGGAATTGAAAACCTATCTTTTCTGTTTCTGAGAAACTGAATCTGGATTAGCAGTAGGTAAATTGGCATATTCTTCCATGTGAGAAAATGTTTTTTTCTACTTGACAATCCAGTCTTGACAATATATTCAGTTAGCTAATACATAACCTCTAAAGACTGGGAGTGGGAAAGGACCTTCATAAATAGAAGTCTCTTGCTTACCAATGTGGTAATATCAATGGGTTTTTAAGACAGAATTTTCAACAAGCTTTTAACAGAAGAGGATCATCTGTGGTCTTTCTCATCACCAAGTACATTGATTGAAGGAGAAAATAAGAGTAACTCTTCTTTAGAATGAAACATTTTTACTTAGAAATATTTTAAAATCAGATCTAGGATTTCTATGGAAAGCATTCAGTTTGTTTTGTTGTCATTGAATCACCAGGCTGTTTTCTTTCTATCTATATAGTCTGATAGCAAGATTGAATAAGCTAGCAGCTATTCACTCTATATGAGATTTTCTTCTTTTTGGACCAGAGTCTTGAGAGTCAGTATGAGATAGTGGAGAAAGAGAGCCAGCTTAAGAATCAGGAAGACCTGAGTTCAAGTACTTCCTACCTGTGACATATATGGGCTCTGTAACTCAGGATAAGCTAATTAACTCAGTGCTGTAGGGAACTTTCTTAGTCTGTATGGTACAGATCTACCTTGAATGAATGAAAACGCATTTATTTAGGTTTTTTGTGGAGGATGCAGATTTGGAAGCAGATGGTTCATCAAACTCTCAAGAAATTTATATTTTGTTGCTGTTCAGTCGTCTTTCAGTCGTGTCCAACTCTTTCTAACCCTATTTGGGGTTTTCTTGACAAAGATGCTTGAGTAGTTTGCCATTTCCTTCTCTCCCTCATTTTACAGATTTTACAGAAACTGAGGCAAAGAGGCTTAAGTGACTTGCCCAGGGTCACACAGCTAGTAAGTGTCTGAGGCCTGATTTGAACTTAGAAAGATGAGTCTTCCTAACTCCAGGCCTGACACTCCTCCACTGTGCCATCTAGGGGCCCAACTTGTATTTTAATTATTAGAAATATATATGTATGTGTGTGTGTGTGTGTGTGTGTGTCTGTGTCTGTGTACGTACATACATATATATACATATACACACACATGTGTGATCATTCTAATTATTAGAATCTAATAGATACCAATTGAATTGGTGGCCAGGAAAGAGAGTTTTGGCCTTGGGAGAAAAGACCAGTGAGTGTCATTTCATTTTCATATCATTTCCAGGAACAGTGGTAGTACTGATTTTCTTATTGTTCCCAGAGTAATACGTAGAAAGGGGAAGGGGAGCAGACTACCAGTCCAAAGGAGGGCAGATATCCAGATGCCTAGGGTAGAAAGCTCCATGGGATGTGAAGCATGACCTGGGGCTGGCTAGATATGTTGGGTTAGGTGAGTTTGTATGCATTTACTCATTTGCCAATGAGGATCAGCCCCAGAGTGAGAATTCCCAAACTGAGTGAATTAACTCTTCCTGGGAGGAGAGAGGAGAAAGGGTCTTTGGATGACCATTCTGGAGTATGCTATTCCAGGTAGAATGGGGTGAAGAGGCAGGGCATATAGCAGGATGCCAGGTATAGATGGATGGATGGATAACATTGGAAGAGGGAGTTTCCTTGTTGAGAGTTCCCTAGACCAGTATGTGTATTCACAGGTCTGGTTCCTTCTCTTAGTATAGTTAAATTAACTGTTGCTGACTTAGGAGATTTTACGAGATGAGTGCAGTAGAAGCCAAGCCAGATTCATAAAATGATGGTGTACACATCTCTTTTTTCTAGGGAGATGACAGTCTATCTGCGATTACCTACGAATCAGACTTAGAGATGGTAAGTGTATACTTTTCCAATCAGCTGTATGCTTTAGTACGCCGGCAAATTCATTTTTGCAAACATCCTAGACAGTACTTTGATTCCATTTCTACTATGTATAGGTCAGGTTCTGAAGTAGAAATTTAAAATATTACTTAGTGTTTGAAAAAAACAGGTTTGAGATGCTCAAAGAATTTTTACAAATTAAGTAATTAAAAGTGTTAACATTTCATCTATAAGGAGGAAAACTGTTCAATGGTACAGAGTTCAAATAAATGATAAAGTTTATTGTATCTACTAGAAAATAAAGACATCCAAATTCCACCTAAGAAAGGCTCTTGTAGTTCTTGTGATGTCTTAATTTCTACAGATGTATAACAGGCTGCTCTATTATGTTGAAAACAGTGTTTCAGAGAGAATACTTTTTTTTTTTTGCATTTGTTGCCTCTTCATTAACAGGACTTACACTTGCTTGTAGTGGTGGATCAAGAGCAGTAGAAGAAGCTACCAGTTATAACTACTTAGTTACTGTAGACAAGGAGTTGTGGAGTTGTTGAGATCCTTTTCTTGGTGGCATCCTAATCTGGCTTAATTCTTTTTCAGTTATCATGCTTTCTACATTTTCTTTGTGTTATTATGTATGTGTCTTTGAATCCCCACATAAACTTAGGCTTAGGCCCAAGAGCTAAATCTGATCTCATTTTGATGGATTATTGTGTTGTAAGCCTTCTCCTTTGCTCAGTCTTCTCCAGACCCCCTCTGACATTACTGCAAATTATTCTGAACTCTTTTACAGGTCACACGTTAAGTGTTTCCATAGTGGTACTGTTTTTGTAACAAAAACACAACCTATTTTTACATCATTTCTTCTGCCTTTCAGAAATCAAAAAAGAAAACTTTTCACAAATATCCGCCAAGATCACCAAGTAAGTATGATACAGTTCTTTTCCTCTGATCTTATATGTTTAGAGGCACACATAAGGCGTTTTACATTGGAAGTGTTACACGTTTCTTTCTTGTTAAGCTATCCTTCACTAGTGACCTAGGAAGCAGACCAAAATAATTTCTACAGATGGGTAGTCAGACAGCTCAATATGCTGGCATATGTTTATAGTGGACTTTGGGGTAGGACTTTCATGGAATTTTATCATTTTAGGGTTGGAAGCAGTGGCAGAAGTTATCTAGGCCAACTTCTCTGGAAATCCATCCGATTTTCTTTACCAGCTGCTACCACTTAATTCGTGGCTTCATCACCCTTCTCCTAGATGACTTTAATAGCCTCCTAGTTGTCTTCCTTTCCCTGCTTTCTCTCATTTTTCAGTCCATCCTTCCCATAGCTTTCACGAAGATCTTCCTGCCTAGTGTTGAGTTGGTCATGTCATTCCTCTGTTCAGAAACTTCAATGGTTATTTCTTGACTCTAGGATAAAATAGAAACTCTTCAGTCTGGCAGTTAAGGTTCTCTGTGGTCTGGCTCCAGTCAGCCTTTCAACCTTTCAAATTTCATTTCATACTCCCCTCTCACCTCATAGCTAGTATATTTGTGGTAGCTTTCAGAGAGGGAAATCTTTTGTAACTACTCTTTTCTGCGAGTCCATGCTGTCACAGAGAGCTAATCGTATCTACTGACTGCCTGTTAATGGGCAGCACTTGAGTGTAGGAGGCTGTGGTCACAGGTACTGTAGAACCTGTGGGAATAGTAGCTGTCTTCGAGGGACCCAAATTGTGAATGTCATTGCAAATTGGAGGAATAACCAGAGGGTGTGCTACACGTATTTGTATTAATTTACATGTCCATGTTGTCTGCTCCTATGGCAGTTCCTTGAGGCCAGGGACTATTTTGTTTGTCTTTGTATCCGCAGGTCCTCCTGGGACAATGCCAAAGCAATTCACTACTTGGTAGCTAGATGAACCTTAGGTAGTCTTGTCTTCAGGTGACCTTCACTAACATCTGATCCTTGTTTAACCCTCTTTTGTAGCATTTGCCAGGCATTATGCCTTGCTGGCATAACTTTTGAGAATCACTGTATCATGATCATTGACAAATTAAAAAAAAAAACAAAAATATTGCTATGGTGACTTTTTCCCTTGCTATTTTAGTATTTTATTATTTTCCCCAATTACATGTAAAATAATGTTTAATGTTTTTTTTTAAATTTTAAGTTCCAAATTCTCTTCCTCCCTTCACTGAGAAGCCAGGTGATTTGATATAGATCATACATGTGCACTCACACAAAATATTATCATGTTAGTTATGTTGTAAAAGAAAACAGACTGAAAAAAACAAATAAGAAAAACTTTAAAAGTCTTTAAAAATGTGCTTTAATCTGCGTTTTGACTCCATCAGTTCTTTTTCTGGAAGTGGTGTTAGCATTTTTCATCATGTCCTTTGAAATTGTCTTGGATCATTGTGTTGCTGAAAATAGCTAAGTCATTTACAGTTGCTCATCATACAGTATTGCTGTTACTGTGTACAGTGTTCTCCTAGTTCTGCTCATTTCACTTTGCATTATTAGTTCGTGTAAGTCTTTCCAGGTTTTTCTGAGAGCATCCTGCTTATCATTTCTTATAGGACAATAGTATTCCATTACAATCATATACCACAACTTGTTCAACCATTCCCCAATTGATGGGCATTCCTCAATTTTCGATTCTTTGTCACCATAAAAAGAGCAGCCACAAATATTTCTGTACATATAGGTCCCTTTCCTTTTTTGTTTTTTATCTTTTTGGGATATGGACCTATAGTGACATTGCTAGGTCAAAGGGTATGCATGGTTTTATAGCCCATTGGGCATAGTTCCAAATTGCTCTCTGGAATGGTTGAACTAGTTCATAATTCCACCAGCAGTGCATTAGTTTCTCAGTTTTTCCACATCCCCTCCAACATTTGTCATTTTCCTTTTCTGTCATATCAGCCAGTCTGATAGGTGTGGGATAGCGCTTCTGAGTTGTTTTAATTTGCATTTCTTCAATCAGTAGTGATTTGGAGAATTTTTTCATATGACTTGTTTGCTTCATGTGAATACTGCTTGTTCATATCCTTTGACCATTTATCAACTGGGGAATGATTTGTTTTCTTATAAATTTAATTATGTTCTATATATATTTAAGAAATGAGGCCTTTATCAGGAGAACTCGCTATAATTTTTTTTTCAAAGTTATTGTTACTAATTGTATATTTCCTCCACCCTATTTTTCCCTGTCTTTATCCTACTTTCTCTTCACTCATCCTGTCCATCCATAGAGTGTTTTGCTTCTGACCTCTATTAATCCACCCTTTCTCCTATCAGCATCTCCCCCGCTTATCCCCTTCCTTTCTTACTTTACTGTAGGGTAAGATTGACTTCTGTACACAACTGAGTATATATGTTATTCCCTCTGAGCCAGTTCTGATGAGAGTAAAGTCCAGGTGCTCTGCCCCTTCTCAATTCCCCCTTCTTCCTCTTCACTGTAAAAACCCTTTTTGTGCCTCTTTTACGTGAAATAATTTACCCCATTCTACCTCTCCCTTCTTCCTTTTCCTAGTGTCTTTCTCATCCCTTAACTTAATTTTTTTAGATATTATCCCCTCATATTCAACTCATACCCATGTCCTCTGTCTATGTATACTACTTCTAACTGCCCTAATAATGATAACATTCTTAGGAATCATAAGTATCATATTCCCATGTAGGAATGTAAATAGTTTAACCTTACTGAATCCCTTATGATTTCTCTTTCCAATTTACCTTTTTATACTTTTCTTAAGTCTTGTATTTAAAAGTCAGATTTTCTCTTCAGCTCTGGTGTTTTCATCAGGAATGCTTGCAAGTCATCTATTTCATTAAATACTCATTTTTTTTTCCCCTGAAGGATTATATGCAGATTTGCTGGGTAGGAGATTCTTGGCTGTCATCGTAGTTCCTTTGCCCTCTGAAATATCAGAGTTTAAGCCCTCCAGTCTTTGAATGTAAAAGATGCTGAATCTTGGATTATCGTGACTGAGACTCCACAGTATTTGAATGATTTCTTACTGGCTGGTTGCAGTATTTTCTCCTTGACCTCGGAGCTTTAGAATTTGACTGTAATATTCCATTTTTTGATTTTTTTTCTCTTGTTTTTTCCCTTTTGTTTTGTTTCTTCTTTCACAGTGTGACTGATGTGGAAATATGTTTGCACATGCATAACCTATAACAGATTGTTTGCCATCTTGGGGAGGGAGAAAGGGAGAAAAATGAGAACTCAAAATCTTATAAAAAATGAATGTTGAAAACTATCTTTGCGTGTAACTGGAAAAAACAAAAACGCTCCTTACAAAAAAAATTATCTTTCCTAGACCTATTTTCCAAGTCAGTTGTTTTTCCCAATGAGATATTTCACATGTTTTTCATTCTTTTGACTTTATTTTATTGTTTTTTGAAGTCTCATGGAATCATTAGCTTTTACTTGCCCAATTCTAATTTTTAAAGAATTATTTTATTCATTGAGCTTTTATATCTTCTTTTCCATTTGGCCAATTCTATTTTTTAAGGAGTTCTTTTCTTTAGTTAATTTTTGTGCGTCTTTTTCCATTTGACCAATTCTACTTTTTAAGAAGTTCTTCTCTTCAGTGGATTTTTGTGCCTGTTTTAACATTTGGGCTATTTTGTTTTTGAAGATGTTATTTTCTTCATTATTATTTTTTTTTGGCTTCTTTCTCCAAACTGTTGACTCTTTTTCATGATTTTTCTGTATCACTCTCATTTCTTTTCCCAATTTTTCCTCTACCTCTCTTATTTTATTTTTAAAATCCTTTTTGAGTTCTTCCACATATTATTTTTGGGCCTGAGGCCAATTCACATTTTTCTTTGGGGGTGGGGAGGAACCTTTGGATGTAGCACTTTTGACTTTGTTGTCTTCTGAGTTTGTGTTTTGATGTTTTCTGTCACCATAGTAACTTTCTATGGTCAGGTTCTTTTTTTGTTATATGCCCATTTCTTGTCTTTTAACTTTGTGATAAAGTTAAGCTCAGCTCCCGGGGTGGAAAGGGCATTGTCCCAAGCTTCAGGGCTTTTGTGCAGCTGTTTTCAGAGTTCTGGGGGGTCTGTAAGTTTTCAGTTTTTCCAAGGTGATATGATCTATGGAGAGATGTGTTTACAACTCTTCTGGTCTGTGAGCCACCACAAGCATTCTTTTTCTGCTCTGGAACTGTGACCATGGTTACCACCCCCCCAACCCTTACAGCTGCTAGCTCTGATATGTTACTGCCCCTCTTTGCCCTGGTACTGTGACCTAGGACTGAGACATGGACCTGCATATGGGCAGTGCAACAGAGTCCTGCACCCAGTGCTATCAAAGGGATCCCTATGATCTCTTCTTCCCAGTTGTCTGACATCTCTACTATTTTTGGGCCGAGAGCTCTGGAAGCCCAGAAGCTGCTGCTGCTGATTCAGTTGCTCCCAAGGCCTGATGTTGGCTTGCAGAGATGAAGTCTGCTGCTGGCCCACCAAGGTGTTGCCTGTACTGGACTGTGCTTCACTTACAGACCTTTCCCACCAACCTTCTAAATTATCTTGGGTTGGAAAATTGTTTCACCCTGTCCTTTTGTGGGTTTTGCCACTCTAGAATTTGTTTTGAGGCATTATTTTAGAGTTATTTGGAGAGCTCAAGCAAGTCCCTGCCTTTTCTCCACCATCTCTTGGTTTCCTTTGTGACTTTCTTTACTAGCAAAAGTTAAATTTTTCTACACGTTTTGCTGCTGGGATTATCCTATTAAGAGTAGGAGCCTCTGAAACTTTAAGGATAAAAATCAAATGAGCTGAGAACAGCAGTTCATCAACTAATTAAGATTTGAAAGGGCAATGGTAAGAACTTGAAACACTGTTTTACCCTAAAGTCCTAGTGAATAAACTGAAGAATGTGAAAAGAATAATTTACTCAAACTTGGGACTCTTTTGAACCTGCCTCTCTTACCATTCCTTCACATTGGCCTGGCCTCACTCTCTCCTTTCCTGTATATGTCATATTTTCCCTTTCTGTGTCATATTTTTTCTCCTCCTTTTTCCTCTTTTGTTTCTCTGTCCTCCTCTTTTCCCTCAGGTAATATTCCTGATTTTCCTTTTCATTCTTTTTTAAATTTCTACTAGTAATTGTTCTAAATGTAGAACTGAAGTACACTTTTAAGTATTTCTTCTAGTTATTTATTTAAGTTTTATTTTCCATGTTTTTAATTTAAAAATCAAGTGAGTTTAATTATATCTCTTTCAGATTAAATTTTTTTCCCCTAAATATTAAGGCATTGACTATTTGTAAGGCATTGTCCGTAGGCACTGGGAATACAAAGACAAAATGAAATAGTCTCAATGAACTTTCATTGTACTTGGGGGGAGATACAGCATGTGCAAAACAAAAATTAGTAAAATTCAAGAATTGAGGAGAAACAGAGTACTAACAGCTCAGTGGATGGGGAATCAGGGCAGGTGTCTTAGAAAAGCCTACACTGAGTCTTGAAAGAAGACAAGGATACTAAGGGTAAGAGGAGTACATTTAAAGTAGAACATTGAGAATCAGGTATTGCCAGTCACTAGTAGTCCAATTTGGTGGGAGTGTAGAGTTTATAAAGGGTAGTATGAAATAAGACTGGAAAGGTAGGTGGGAGCCAGATTGTAGAGGGCCTTAAATGCCAGGCATTTCTATTTTTCCTTGTCTCCAACTGTCACCATTTGGTGTTTCACCAATATAATCATCTTTGCTCCTAATTTCCCTGTTTTGGTTGAGGGTACCACTATTCTCTCAATCACCTAGTAAAAATCTTGTAGTAATCCTTGAGTGTTCCGTCTTCACCCCTTATATCAAATTAGCTGCCAAAGGCATCTGTGTCCTACCTGTAAACTCTCTTTCACATTCAGGTCTCATTTCCATTTTCACTGCCACCATCTTGATTAAGGCCCTTCTTACCTCTTACGTACTCTTTGGTAGTAGCCTCCTAACTAACTATTCTGCCTGCTTCTAGTCTCTCCCCTCTCTGTCTTTCATGCAGCTGCCTGAGTCATCTTCCTGATGTATGGTTTTGATTCTGTTACTTTTCTCTCACTTTAAAACTTGGGATAGTAGTTTTCTACTGTCAAAAGAGTTAAAAGCAAACATTTCAGCTTGGTTTTCAAGACCTTCTATAATTTAACTCTAGTCTTCCTTTCCACCTATATTTCACAATACTTCCCTTCAAGTATTCTATACACCAGCTGTACTGGACAATTGGCACGTCTAGTCTTTCATCCCCCCTTCTCATACCTCCATGCATTCTTTTCCCCATTTCTGGAGCAGATGCTCCTACCCCACATCTCCACACTTTGAAATCTTTCTTTTCAAGGCCTGGTTCAGGACCTATCTCCATGAGACTTTTCCTGATCCCTTTAACTAGAAGTATTCTTCCTTAAATTTTGCAGAATCACAAAGTTGACAGGGGTCTCAGAGCTACCTAATTCAACAATCTCTGAAAAGGATCTTTTCTGCAGTATAACTGACTAGTGGTTATCTAGTGCCTGCTTGAAGTCTTCCTGTGTGGAGGAACCTACTAGCTCTAGCAGCCCGTTCCATTTTTAGATAACTAATTGTTAGGGTTTTTTTACCTTACCTTAAGCCTAAATTTTCTTCCTTGCAGCTTCTATCCATCATGGCACTCTGTCCTCTCCTATTCATTTAATCATACTTTGCCTTTTATCATAGTTACTTGTATGTATATATGTTCCCTTCCCTGACCCTCCTTTAGATGGTAAATTCCTTAAGGGGTAAGGACAGTGTTATTCTTCATCTTTGTATTCCCAGCACCTACATGAGTGTTTTAACAATTAGTATAGATTTTATAAATGTATTGTGAATTGATGACTTGACCCCCTGTGTAGGCCTCAACTGTTCCCTCTCTCCCCAGCCCCCTCCCCTCCCCCCAGTGGGTCAACCTGAAGAAGAACAGGTTTCCAATTCCTTCTGTAACTTTTAATAGATATTCTATTTTTTATTGTTTGCCTTTTTTTTTTAAAGTGAGGCAATCGGGGTTAAGTGACTTGCCCAGGGTCACACAGCTAGTAAGTGTCAAGTGTCTGAGGCTGGATTTGAACTCAGATCCTCCTGACTCCAAGGCCAGTGCTCTATCTACTGCACCACCTAGCCACCCCTAGACACTCTATTCTTTAACACCTAGCTCTCTGACTTATAGTTTATTTTCATATATGAACAGCATATTTTCATATATATATAGTGAATAATATTATTGATTGCCTTAAAGCATAACTAATCAGATAAATTATTAATTAAAATTGACTAGTAGTTTCTTTACCTTCCTTGGTCATAGCCTCTATACCATTACTGAAGTGCTTATTATGCCAGAACTGCCATTTGTGTGTAAGCAAAAGAGATGTTTTTATAATCGAACTTAGAATAATATTTGTGGATACTCATGGTATATGTTTTGCATTTAATATTACTGTAATATGCATACCACCAACTCTCAATCGTCTGTTTATGAATCATTTACTTTGGAGTTATCTATATCACAATTTAAATTATAGATTGACTTCCCTTTGCATCATGGCAAATTCTTTCTGGTGTGTACTTGGGGAATACAAATTCATTTTCATATTAGCCTAAGCCAAACTTAATTAGAAAGGTAAACTATTCCTCAAAAGTATATGTTACATTTTGGAGATAATTTTGTTTTCTATTATTTTGCATTATTCTCCATTAACATGAATAATAAAATTGAGAGTTTGCTATATTATTAAATAAAAAGAACATGCGTGGGTGTGGGTTTAAAATGCACATATTTGTGTTTTGTAAACCTTCTCATTTTTGAATCATCTCTCTGATTGGTCTTTCAGCTACGATCATTTTCTCATTATTATCCCTGAAAGGCAAGCATTTGGGGGTGTTATGAATATTCAAGCTGGATCAATCTAGCTTTATTTGATTAGATATTACTTTGGGCTTTTGTATTTGGATTTTATAAACATCTCAATACAGCTTTTCAAATGGTTTGGGTTTGGCATATTTACAGTTACCTTATTAGGGATATAGAGTATATTATGTGTAAAATTGGTCTGATTATTGAATTATGATACTTGGTAATTTGGAAATTTGACATGTAGAAAATAAAGGAAAAATATTCAAACTTTTTTTCTTGTTTTTGAAGGGAAAATTGTTTTTCTGAATTTTTCTTGGCTTATACATTTATTTTTTAAATTTTATTTTTATTAATTTATTTTTAGTTTTCAACATTCACTTCTGTAAGCTTTTGAGTTTTAAATTTTCTTCCCCTCCCTTCTCCCCTCCCTCCCCAAAATGGCTTGGCTTATACATTTGTAGTTTTAATTTTATATAACTGTTTTGAGCAGAATAATTTTGCCTGAAGGTATTGCCCTTATAAAAATTTTGTTTTATGCAAAATTTTTGTTTCATAGCAAATTTATTGAGGTATAAATAGTATTTTGTCACTCTAACATCATCTATTTTCTTTTTCAGAGTCTCCCTATCATACCAAACCTAAACAGATCTCATCTTGGAGATATTTAAAGGCAGCAGGGGCAATGCCTCTCAGTGGCAGGATGGCTTTAACCCCACAGAAACTATGGCTTGGACCTTCAAAACAAGGTATGTGACTGCTTCAACCCATTGCTTCCCTGCTCAGAAATTCTCACAGGGGAATTTCTGAAAATTTGAAAGATGACTTAGAATGCAACTTGTTATTATTGAATGCAGTGTGACTTTTATTCACTCCTAAAACATTTAGCATTTCTATCATGTCATGACTTGTAGATTGTGATGCTCTCTCAAACTAGATGACTGTACATTTTGTTTTTGAGTAATATGAATTTAAGAGTACTGACACAGCTTCCCTTAGTCTAGAAACATTGGTCGTTTATTGTAGGATAAAGCTTGACCTGTGTTGTACTGATAGCATCACATTAAATTCATACTGTTTTTTTCTCAGAAAGTTTGACTCAGCTTATGAAATCAGTCTAGGGACTTAGGAATGTATGGACTAACCCCTCTAGTGACACTCCAGAATATTTGAAGGAAGCATTAGGTATTAAAAGGCAAAAGCACAAATATTCTTTAGCAATGGTGAGCATATCAGTGGAGATAAAATTGCTTTTCATGAGTTTAAAACAATAGAACTTTTGAGTTTATTGTGACCTTTGACAAGATGAGATTTTGGCAAATAAAGGAGGATGGATACAAAAGCATGACATCTCTCTGTAAGAATGTCAGGACTGCCAAAACTCAGAATAAACAGAGACTGGTGGTGAACATTAAGGACAACGTAAAGGACTTTTTTAGCCATTATAGGGGGTGAGGGGAGAAGGAGGATTAAAGAGGGATAGTACCACTGCACTGGGTGTATAGGAAAATAATAGCACAATGGAGAGAAGACAGAATTATTCAAACTTTTATTTTGCTTTTGTTTTCTCTGCCAAGGAATAAGATCTCTGGATTGGAAAGATAAAAATATCTGATTTGTTCAGTCATTTTCAGTCATTTCTGATTCATTGTGAATCCATTTGAAGTTTCCTTGGTAAAGATACTGGAGTGGTTTGCCATTTCTTTCTCCAGCTGATTTTACAGATGAGAAACTGAGGCAAACGGGGTAGAGTGATTTGCCAGGGTCACACAGCTAGTAAGTATCTGAGGTTGGATTTGAACTCAGGAAGAGGAATCTTCCTGATTCCAGGCCTAGCACTCTGTGCACTATGCCACCTAGCTGCCCCTATGCATACTTACATACATACATACATATGCATACACATACATATATGTGTATATACACATGTGTGTGCGTGTTTGTTTTTAAAATAGGGAGTTGAAACACAGGATAAGTAAAAAGGTAATGGTCCTTGATGAGTTCAAATTAACCAACTCTATGCAAAACCACCTCCTAGGATACTAAAAGAACTAGCTTTCAAAAAAAGTGAAAAAAATAGAGTCTATAGAACATAGAACTGTGAGTGACTACAATTTCTTGCAAATTCTAGAATGCATTATTAAAGGGATGGTTTGTAAACATCTACAAAAGGAAGTAGTGATCACAAAGAGCTAGCATGGTCTTGATCAAAGGTCATGCCAAACTAACCTCATTTTCTTTTTTGTCAGGGTTACTGGACTGGTAGGGAATTCTGTAAAATAATTACAAGAACAATAATAATAGCTGATTTTATATAGCACTTTGAATTTTGCAAAGTACTTTATATGCACAAGTTCTATGACTCCTAATTGAGCATTCTAATCACTACAGCAGCATCTTTTGTATGCTTGCTTGTGGAATAGATGAAGTGATATGGAGTAGAAGATTGAAGTCACACAGATTGAGAACTAGTGAAGTGATGAAACCCAAAAAGTATCCATTCATGACTTAAAGTCCAGGAGGAGGGAAGCCTCTAGTAGGCAGAGGGATCTCTGTCCTCAGCTCTGCTTCTGTTCAAGATTTTTACCACTAAATTGGATGAAGGCACACTTATCAAATTTGCAGATGACACATGAAGCTTAGACATATTGGTTGAGAGTAAGGATGAATATTTCACCAAGTGAGAATCATGGGCTGAATCTAATAAGATGGAACATTTATTTAACAAAGTAAATGAAAAATCCTGTTGTTTAGTTTGAAAAAATAAATTTCAAAAGTACAGGATTAGGGAGGCATGACTAGACAAGAGTTCTTGTGAAATTGACATAGAGGTTTTACTAGACTAAAAACTCAAGATGAGTTCACAGTTCAGCATAGAAGTTAAAAAACACTAATGAGGTCTTAGGTTGCATTTAGAGGCTTAGTATCTATGACTTGGAAGATGATAGTCCTGCTGTCCTATGAACAGACTCTACATGCAGTGTGGTGGCTCAGTTCCGGGCACTGTAGTAACAAGGTAGAGAGCGTCCAGAAAGAAGCATTCAGCATGGTGAGGTGATCATGCCAGATGAAATTCAGTTGAAGAAAATGAGATGGTTAGCCTTAGAAGAGAAGATGAAGGAAGGAAGGAAATAACCATTTATGAAGCATTTACTACGTGCAAAGCACTGTCTTAAGTGCTTTACAAATATCTCATTTGAAAGAAATGAGATAATATTTGATCCTCACAACAACCCTGGGAGATAGGTACTATTATTATCCTCATTTTACAGTTGAAAATATTGAAGCAAACGTGGGTTAAGTAACTTGTCCAAGGTCACACAAATAGAAAGTTTCTGAGGTCACATTTGAACTCAAGTCTTCCTGATTCTAGGCCCAGTTGTCTGTCTATTGTATCACCCACCTACATGCATATATGATAAATGTCTTCAGGTAGTTGAAGGGATGACATGTAGAAAAGAGATTAGACATATTCTTTTTGGCCCCAGAGAGCAGGACTAGGAGCAGTGGGTGGAAGTTGTAGGAGGGCAATTTAGTTTTGACACAAGGAAGAACTTTATAGCAGTTAATAGTCTATAATAATAGAATGGGCTGCCACCAGAAGGTAGTGGATTCTCCTTCACTAGAAGTCTTCAGTGTGGTAGAAGGCATCCTTCTTCAGGTACAGGTTGGATTAGATGGGCTCTCAGGGGCCTTACAACTGTGACACTGAGATTTTTTACTTCAGGTATGCACATTAGTCTACAGCAGGTTAAGAGGTAAGATATGAAATAGGATCATTGCTCATTTAGGAATTAGAGCGATTCCTTCACAGTAGAAGCTAAACTAACTATACAGTCTTCTTAAATTTAATGGGAAAAGACTTTTAATATTGTCAGTGAAATCTTTACTGAGCTCTCATTTGCCTGCTTCCCAAAACTTTTAACTATTTTACTTTTTTTTTCTTTTAATCCCTACAGGATAATCACTTCAGTTTTAAAACTTTACTTAAATTCTAATTCCTTTATATTGTGTCCCGTACATGAGTTGCTTACTCTTTTTGGTTGTTGGTCATTATATTTTAAGCTTAAATATTTATTAAACATCAGCATGTTAATTATCCTTTAGAAATAAGGATTTGGGCAATTAGGTGGCACAATGAATAGAGTGCCAGGTCTGAAGTCAGGAAGACTCATCTTCCCAATTTCAAATCTGGTCTCAGACACTTAGTAGTTTTGTGTAAAACCTCAGTTTCCTCATTTGTAAAATGAGCTGGAGAAGGAAGTGGCAAATCACTCTGGTATCTTTGCCAAGAAAATCCCAAATGGGGTCGTGAAGGGTTGGACATGACTGAAACGACTAAACAACAAAGAAATAAGGATTCACAGTCTTTGTCTTGGGAGCCTCAAATCTGAACAGTTTAAATGTAAATGGTTAAGCAAAGTCTAAATGTTTTACTCCTAATCCAGTTTTTCTTTTATTCTACCTTGACTATAAATTATGTGTTCATATCCTTATTTTTCTTGAATTTCACTTTTTCTTTTCTGTCTCTGGAAAATTTCTGTAATTGGTTATCTGTTACAATATAAATTGTTTATAAAATCCTATTAAATGCTTAGTATTGAATGAGAAAGAATACCTTTTTCTCTTCTGTCACTGAAGCATTGTGATCTTTGAAATCCTGGTTATAGTAAAGCTAAGGATTGTTGTTCCCTTACAAATAATCTTATAAGCGATTTGCTTTGTGTCTTTCTCTAGGTCATAGTCCTGGGGCCCCTGTTTATAGAGAGAAGGAAGATATGTATGATGAGATTATTGAATTGAAGAAGGTAATATTACTTTTTGTTCTCTACTGTTTTTAAGCAATGAAAGTTTCTGACAGTGGACAAAAAAATTAATGCTTAACAGGGCTCCCTATTAACTCAAAGATCAAATGTAAATTCATTTTCTATTTAAAGCTCTTACCCACTTAGCCCCTTCTTCTACGTTACTCCCCTCCATTCTTTCTACAGTCTGGCCACACTGTTCTACTTGCTGTTCCTCGCACATGACATTCCATAGTCAGTCTATGTGCCTTTTACATTGGCCACCTCCTTGTACCTCAAATGCTCTCCCACCTCCCTTCAGCCTCTTAGAATCTCTGACTTAATTCGAGACTTTAGCTCCTGCTAGGCAGGAATCACTATAAAGTTCTTTGGTAACCAGGGATCCCATTTCACATTTTGCATTTTAACCTGCTGTAGTAATGTACCATCTTCTGCATGGGGCTTTTCATTTGCCCTAGCTGCTAGTGTTTTCCTATTTGAGGTTACCTTTATGTACTCTCCCATTAGAATGGAATCTACATTCTAATCTAAGGGAAAGGACTGTTTTTTGCTTTGTCTTTGTGTCTCCAGTACATAGCATAGTGCCTGGCACAGAATAATGTTTAATAAGTGCTTGTTGATTGATTTATGACACAAAATGTACACTGACCCAGGAACTAAGGTGTGTATTCACTGAGATTTATTATTGAGAAATTTATTTGATATATAATTTAACTAACATTTAACGTATTATTGATAAATATATTCTTATAGGGCAGCTAGGTGGTACAATGGATAGAGTGCAGGTCAGAAATCAGGAAGACTCATCTTCTTGAGTTCAAATACAGCTTCAGACACTTACCAACTTTGTGTGATCCTGGGCAAGTCATTTAACACTGTTTACTTCGGTTTTCTGATCCGTAAAATGAGTTGGAGAAGGAAATGGTAAATCACTCCAGTATCTTTGCCAGGAAAACCTCAAATAGGGTCACAAAGAGTCAGACATGACTGAATACCAACAATAAAATCCCATGTATTCGGGGCAGGTAGGTGGTGCATTTTATGGAGTGCCAGGTCTGGAGTCAGGAAGACTCATCATCCTGAGTTCAGGGCAGGTAGGTGGTGCAAGGGCAGCTAGGTAGCACCGTGGATAGAGCCAGGCCTGAAGTCAGGAGATGTGAGTTCAAATCTAACCTCAGACACTACTAGCTGTGTGACCCTAGGAAAGTCACTTAACCCTGTTTGCCTCGTTTGTAAAATGAACTGGAGAAGAAAATGGCAAACCACTCTAGTACCCACGAAGAGTTGGACACAATTGAAACAATTGAACACATATTTTTATATTCTCAGTTTCATCTCAGAGGAAGAATAGTGTAGTGCTTCTTAGCAATACTAACCCTACTAGTCCCTTTTATCCCCTCCCCTCCCACCTCTAGTCACTTGCTCCTTCAGTCATTCCTTTTCTCTTTTTACTTTTCAGTCGTTCTTTATGCACTAATTCTTCCCTGATACCTGCAAACAAGTCCATATCTCCTCATCCTTCACTTGACCCTGCCATGCCCTCAAGCTGTTGTCCCATAATTCTCTCTTTTACAGCCAAATGCCGATATAAAGTAGTCCGAATTTATTACCTCTACCTTGAACTAGTAGGAGCATAGATTAAAAGCTGAAACAGAGATTAGAGATAATCTAGTCCAACATCCTCCTCATTTTACAGATAAGGAAACTGTGGTCCAGAAAAGTTAATTCTAGTTCACACCCTCATTGTCTCTCATCTATACTATCTTATAACCTCCTGATTGATTTCTCTGCCTCAAGTCTCTCCCCGTTTCAATTCATTCTTGACACCTCTGCCAAAGTGATATACCTGAAGGGTAGGTCTGATTGTGTTACTCTTCTGATCAGTAAATACCAGGGGTTCCTTATTACTTGTGGGATCAAATGCAGACTCTTCTTTTTGACATTTAGAGTCCTTTGCAACCTGGATCCAGGGGTATCCTGGAGCTAGTTCATACTGGTTCATGAGCGCTGATTGTTAAATTTTCAATCTAAGTATTTATAGCTCAGAAATTGGCAAATGATACAAATTGAGGATAGTTTGTTGTTATCGATTGTATAAATTTAAGAAAGTGATAAAATGTTTTAATAATACAGATTATTAAATTTAAGTGTGTCTTGCATACATTTTTTCAGAGAGCTGACTGTTAAACATTTACCTGCACTTTCCTACCTAGATCTAAGTTCTCTTTCAGGCTTCTCTTACAAGAATTCACTTCACAGATTCTGCAGTCCAGCCAAACTGTCCATCTTCTGCTTTCTCACACAGGACATTCCATCTCCTGTTTCTTTGCTTTTGCTCAAGCTGTCTCCCTGTGCTGAGATTGCACTCCCTTCTTATTCTGGCCTCATGAACAATTGCTATGCTACTATGAGGCCTTTCCTTATTCTCCCAACTACTAATACCAAATTACTTTATTTAAATTTATTTTATATATATCTTGTGTGTGTATGTATAAAATGTGTGTATTTATATGTGTGTGTATTATTTCTCCCAATAGAATGTAAGTTCCTTGAGGATAGTGACACACATTTTTGTCTTCGTCTAAGTGCCTACCACATACTGGGCACTTAGTAAATGCTTACTTAATTGGATCAGATCCAAATTTGACTTCCTGAGCACTAGGTGATTGAACTATCTAGCCCAAACCTAGGACTGTGGATAAGGATTAAAAACAATCTATCTTTGTATTTGACTGTGGGGTATATTTAAAACAAAAACAAAGCCAAACCTGTAGAGTTTTTTTTTCCTTTTAGTCATTACACTCTCAAAAAGGTGATGTGGATTTTATGAAAACAAAGCTTCGACGATTAGAAGAAGAAAATAGCAGAAAGGATCGGCAGATTGAACACCTCCTGGATCCTAATCGAGTAAGTTGTCCTTTTTGTTGTAATTCCCCTGGTAAGGAGCATTCAGAATCATTAATCACACAGATCAAAACTTGAGAGTATACAGATCCATAGGTTAGGATTAGGTTAGGTTAGGTTAGGATTTATGTGGCTACTGTCACTGAAAGGCCTCAACACACTCACTTGTAGGGATGTCCTGGGGCAGATTTCCATTTGTAGTCCTCTGATCTATAGCCTGCCCATTCTGCCAGATATCAGAGTTGGCCACATAGCCAAGCCACATACCTAAAGCAAGGGAGCTGTGGAGCAAGCAGATGAATGCCCATGTCCTCCTGGAATTTTTGGAATGACACTTGCATTCATTTAGGGAGAGTCAATGGAAAAGCTATAGAACCTGCCACTTAAAACTATGGTGTCCTTCACAGTAGCCTATCTTCTAACTTCTGGTAAAGGATGGTCATTTTGAAGTTTCCTTTGAGCACCTTCTAACTTTTCAAAGTAGCAATTGACCACGAGTAGAGAAGGGAAACAGGATATGTGGTATCAGAGTGTGAGTGAAGGAAAGTGCTAGAAATGAAATAAAACCAGTAGTTGGTGCAGAAGAATGTGTTATGAGTGGTAGCATGCATAGAGTTGTTGGTGATGTAGATGCATGGTAGATTATTACTCTAGGATACAATTCATTAAGTTTAAGAATTAGTTACATAGGGGCAGCTAGGTGGTGAAGTGGATAGAGCACCAGCCCTGGAGTCAGGAGGACCTGAGTTCAAATGTGGCCTCAGACACATAATGCTTACTAGCTGTGTGACTCTGGGCAAGTCACTTAACCCCAATTTCCTCGCCAAAAAAAAAATTATATAGGAATTGTCCACTTTTTTGAAACTCATTACATATTTATCTTCAGGATTTCCACCCTCCACTATGAAAATCCTCCTCATGGGCTGTATCACAGTCATTTTTCTACTTGACTCTCCAAATGAGATTCCATCATTTCTTCATCGTGTGTTGCCCTGGCTCTCCTGGAAAGTCTCTTTGGGCACAAGTCAAGAGACAGTTTTTTAGACCCGCAATTGAGAAAGAAAGAAAAGCATTAGTTATATAGTGGAAAGATATACTTTTATTCAGAGGACTGTTCAGAAGGGTGTTGCCCAGATGTGTGACATAAACTGAAATTCATGGCCTGTTGTATATGGGAAGGTGATCTAAGTAAAAGATTTCCTAAAAGACTAGGTAGGTGGTCTTGGTTGCTGTGGAGATCCAGCATAGTGGAAGAAGTGGGCCAGTTTGATAATCATGACGAAAGATCACAGATTTGGAACTGGAAGGGACCTTAGAGGCTATTGATTCCAGCCCCTTCATTTTACAGATGTGGAATCTGAGGACATGTGACTTGTTTAAGGTTACACAGTTACTTAGTGTCTAAGGCAGGATTTGAGCCCAAGTTTTCCTGGACTTGAATCCAACCCTCTTATCCATTACCCAGTGCGCCTTGTAGGATGCCTACTACCACCACAGTGAAGACCTGGTCTTGGGACAGGGGCAAATCCATGATGAAATCCAGGGACTCTGTCAGTCGTGATTGGGGAGGTATAAGAAGTAGCTTCATTTGGACCCCATTGTGGGATTTGTCAGTTGAATTGAGGTTTGACCACCAAAAGGCCTGGGTAGCCAGATGAAAGGTCTTCCATATCTCTCTGTTTAGTTAGCCCATTGTGGCAGAGCCAGAGGGAACATACTGACAGAAGTGAATATATAGAGACAATCAGGGATAGATTCCTCTCTGGATGCTAGAAGGGCTCTGGAGTGAGGTAGCCAAATATTCCTGGGCGTCCACCAGGACTTCTTAGATTGCTTTGTCCAGGCAGCTCTGTTCTATTTGAGATCTTGGTTTGCAGCCTGAAGAGTGTTCCCACCAAATCTCATCCTTGTCAGGGCTGTTAGATCTATTGGTTTGCAACCTTAGGCCACAGTGGGCCCTCAAAGCTGTGTGGGATCTTTGTCATACCACCATTGAACCACTTTAGTAAGTCACTGTGTCCCATCAGGAATGCCAGGCAGCATAACCAATAATCACAGGATGGGAATCAAACTTCCATTTGGTTGGTGGAAAAGTCCTGTGGCTTCACCTACAAGCCAGCAAGTTCTTCAGCCTGCCTTTTGGATTTCCCCAGGGGCTTACTCAGCTGGGTAGGTACTGGGGATGCCTTCAGTGTTTCCCTTCTAATACTGCCATCTTACCTTGCAAACTGGAATTTTCCAATTTTATTTCATCCCATCATATCTAGAAAGCATTGGCTCTTTCTTTTGGAGCCACCACTTTGGCCAGTTCAGATCCAAATCTGTGATGCTTGGAAATGGTCTGCCAACAGTACTTAGTAGCTTGGCTTTCTCCATTGTTATCCTAGAATCGGGAAAGGGAGATGGTTATGGGATAAGTGAATAGAATGGCGCTTTTGATTGGTAGAAGTGCCCAGAGTCCATAATCATGTAAGTAAGCTGAATGGTATATCCAGTGAAATCAGCGTTGGATCAGGGCTAGAGGGTAATGCACAGAATTAGAGCAATTAAGGAGCTAGGTTGAATTTGCAGTGGAAGTGGGATAATCTATAGTTATAACCAAGTACAGGGGATCAGTAGGTAGTTCCTATCCTGTAGGGCTAGTAGTATGGAAACATGGGTTATAAATGCCCAGGCTGGTTCATATCCACCCCTGTGCATCTATCAATACTGTACTGTATGTACCAATATTGTATGTAGGAGCAACAGTAACTAGGCTCATTCACTTAACTCTTGGTTCAATTCTTCATTGATATATAAACCCCTAAGATTGAGGGAACTATAAATTTCTGTTCCTCAGATTAGGTGAAATTTTAAAAATCAATAAAATTTGAATTGCACAGACTATTTTTTAAAAATATTATTTTTTTGCTACAGGGCTGTGAATTTGCCCGGAGTATGGTTGACAAAAGGCCTGGTACTGGCTGGGTAAGTGTGATCTCCAGGAAGGTAAATAACTTTTCTATTAAAACCTTATTAAAATGCCAGTTCAGATCAGAGCTATTCCTTCCTTAAAGAGATTATTACAATGATAGATGCGGAGGAAGAGCAACAAAGTACTCATTCAAAATGTATACGAACAGTCTTTGCTCAATGAAGACTTTTTCTTTCAATAATATATGGAGAGAATTAATTTCACAGTACCATGAGTTCTGGACCCTAGGGGTAAAAGAACAGCCCCTGCTGTTTCCTTCTGGGCTGTGAGCTCATCATTCCTCAGCCACTACCTAGGAGTTAGCTATAGAATGGTCAGAAGCTCCAGGAGAACTTGTGGTAAATTCAGGAGGTAGCACTCTTTACCGTGGAAATGATGTTTCCCACTGCTCCTACATGATTTTGAGAACCATTATGCTGGAGTACTTTGAAATTGTTGTAGGCCTTAACTCTTGTCACAGGAGAAGGATTTTAGGCCTGACAATGATACTTGAATATCTGACCTACAATCAGAACCCTGAGCAAAGACTGCTAGATGGAAAGGTGTCATAGGGAGACATTCCTTCCATGGTCTTTCTGTAGATATCTATTCTTTACTCTATTCTTTTTTGTGGTAAAGTGGATTTCTCTGAGGTACTTACTAAGACAGACTATTCAGTGCCCTCCTGCTATGATTGACAGGATTTTGAAAGTATATTGTTTAAGGAAAAAGAATTTGCTGTTCCCAGAATTGATACTAATAACACAGCATCTAGCATACACAATAGTTGAAAGTTATGTTTTTAATATTTAAGACACGTGAGGAGAGAGGTGAGGTTCTATTGGAGTGTAGTGTTACATATGCTATACGACAGTTTTTATGTCTGTTGGTTTTCTTTGGCTGTTTTTCTTTGTAACAAAAGAAGGGCTTATTTGGTGGTGGTGGTGATGAGGTGTATGCAGGAATGATTGTGATTTAAAAATCAGAGGCATCAGTAATGCTTACTTTTAAAATATTTAAGACAACTGGACTTTTACCCAGCACCTTTTCAGGTAAACAATATTTGTTATGTCTTCCTTTCCAACTCTAAAAATGGTGAATAAAGAAATCTCTGTTCTCTAGTGAAATCTCTTTTCTCTAGTGAAATCTCTTTTCTCTAGTGAAAAGAGTTGTTCCTTTTATTTGGCAGCTATGGACAGGATTGTCTAATAAATAATCTCCAGAGAGCTGTAGTTGCCTTAAATTTTTTTAACTAATTATCCTGTTCCTATGTATTATCTTAGTAGTAATGATAAACACGTTTAGGATTTCATTCCTATTTTGGTGTGCTGTGGCTATCTGTATTATCTTTGCTGAAATGTAACACTGTAAAGAGAGAATGAAAAAGACCAGATTTCAGGAGGAGACTGATGTAATAGGGATATCAGAAACGTGTGGGCTTGATGTGTTTATATTCTTTTGGCAGGTCATTAATGGATTAAAACAGAGGATTATCAAGTTGGAACAGCAATGCAAGGAAAAGGACAATACTATCACGTATGGAGATTTTTGGGTTGGGCTCTTGCGTGGGCTGGGAGGAATTTTGAGAATCCTTTATACCATTAGAAAGGGCTACATTTAGCTTACATTATTAGTGAAATTATCTTTCATCAAGTTTTCTCAGACTCCAGCTTGAATTTCCACCCTAAGAATCTCTCTGACCCTGTTCCCAGTTCTATCTTTTTCTTCACTCCACTTCCTAACCAAAAAGGTTGTATGCTTATGAATTCTTAATGTTAGAGTGTCTCTCTTGACCTGAGCACCTGGATACAGGTACCTGCTACATTGAATCCTGCAGTTGAAGGAAAGGGAGGGAAGGCAATAGATATTTATATACTGCCTGCTATGTACCTGGCACTAAGTGCTTTACAGATATCTCATTTGATCTTCGCACCAATCCTGCCAGGTAGATGCAATTATTATCCCCATTTTGCAGTTGAAGAAACTGAGGCAAACAAGTTAAGGAACTTGCCCGGGTCACACAGGAGGAATGTCTGAGAAACTCATGTCTTTCTGACTCCAGGCCCAGCGTTCTATCTACTGTGCTTTTTAGCTGCCTGAAAATGTGTAATCCCTTCTCATTATACCTGATACCTGTCCCATTTAGAGGTAAAGACTCTGTGGGTCATACACAGTAGAGTTACATGTAATTAATGAGGTATGTAGGTCATGAGACATCTCATATTATACACAGTCCTCGAGTTACACATAGCACATTTACTTATAATAGACTCCATATTCCCTCTTTTTTCTGTGTGCCATCCTTCACGTAATCCAGTATACTGCCCTATACCAGCAAATGCCAGTGAGCTACATGGGTGACATTCTTGTTCATCATCTCCAGAACAATGTAAGCCTAATCACTGAGCAAATCATATGGGCATCTGTGCTGACTTACTCTCACTTCTGAACATTCAGTCTCCCTAGCCTCTGTTGGGCCACAGAAGTCTTTGGGTGGCTGACTTGAAGCCCCAGTTCTAGCCTATGGAGGACCTGAGGCTAATGGGACTTTCCTTGCCCCTACTGGTTAAACCCTGTTGTTGGTTTCTGTTGCCTTAGAGTTGCCAAAGCTGGAGTACTGTACAGAAAAAGAGTAGCCAGATGTAGTCCACTCCACGGCCAGGTAAAAATCTTCTTCACATTAAAGAAGTTCTGGCATTTTTCCTCAATGCCCAAAGTTACTCCCCAATTCATTTGGATTTTGACCTGAATCTTCCTTATATAGGCTTTTCTCTGTCTATGGATGGACCTTCCTGAGACCTAATTTCCAAACTCTCCCTTACTCCTATTCTTTTCACCAGTCTGACTAACTCCCTTATGGGCATCTAACCACTGTGATACATTGCCTTGGTAGGGATTTAGTCATTTACTGGGTCAGTTTTGTAGGACAGAATACCTAATCTCTTGAACAGAATATAGAATAACTTTCCACTCCAGCTAGGTAGCACAGTGGATAGAGCACTAGGCCTGGAGTCAGAAAGAACTGAGTTTAAATCTGGCCTCAGACAGACACTTACTAGCTGTGTGACCCTGGGCAAGTCACTTAACCCCATTGCCTAGCCAAAAGGAAAAAAAAAAAGATTTTGAGTTCCAAATTCTCTCCCTCCCTCCTCCTCCCTTCCTGAGACAGCAAGCATTTCAGTATAGGTTATACATGTTCAGTAATGCAAAACATAGTTCCATATTAGTCAAGTTGTGAAAGAAAACACAGACACACACAGACACAAATAAAGAAAGTGAAAAATAATATGCTTCAATCTGCATTCATACTCCATCAGTTCTTTCTCTGGAGGTGGATAGCATTTTTCATCATGAGTCCTTTGGAACTGTATTAAATCATTGTATTACTGAGAACAACTAAGTCATTTACAATTCATTATACAGTATCACTGTTATTGTGTACAATGTTCTCCTGGTTCTGCTCACTTCATTCTGCATCCATCCGTGTAAGTCTTCTCAGGTTTTTTGGAAAGCATCGTGCATGTAATTTCTTATGGCACAATAGTATTCCCTACCACATCTTGTTCAGCCATTCGCCAATTAATGGGCATCCCCTCAATTTCCAGTTCTTTGCCACCACTAATAGAGCTGCTATGAGTATTTTTGTACAAATAGGTCCTTTTCTGTTTTAAAAAAAATCTTTTTGGGATAGATACCTAATAGTGGTATTGCTGGGTCAAAGGTCATGCACAGTTTTATAGCCCTTTGGGCATCGTTTCAAATTGCTGTACAAAATAGTTGAATGATTGATTTATTCTTAATACTTATCATGATTATAGGCTTACTTACTCTTACTACTTAGCAAAACACAATGTCCTCCCAACATCCCAATGTCCAGTCACAGAGAAGGAAGCTGAGTCTTTTGCCCAGGATCACAAAGCTAAACTGTGACGAAACTGGAAACCAAACCCAGCTGTTGTTGCCCCAGTCCAGTTCTTTTACGATGACTTGGCTTCTATGAGTTTTTGTGCCATGTCCCGGTATCAGTGAGACTATCAGCATATTGGGCTCATCTCTGCAATACCAGGATCTCTGTGCTAACTTTTTGTTTGGATTTTCAGTAAACTTCAGACAGATATAAAGATGACTAATTTGGAAGAAATGAGGATCGCCATGGAGACTTATTATGAGGAGGTATTAAGTTCTTTGTCCTAATGTATTATCAAGGGAAAGGGAAGTCACAGAACATGGACAGAGAGCAATATTGTAATTACACTGAACAAAACTGAAGGGACTGTATAAGCTAAAGTTTTGCTGTGAAGGTCATATTGCCAGGATTGTGTGCTCTTACTTGGTCAGGACTTTTAGGTGAAAACATAATGTCACACTTTGGTTTGTCTTGGTCCTAAGCAATGCTCAGAACTCTAGTGGAGTTATCCTCAAAGGAGACTCTTTTCCATGCTAGCGATCTGCTTTTAAAAATGCATTCTAACTTTGGTATTTTACAGATCCATCGTCTCCAGGTTCTTTTGGCAAATACCGAAACAACAGGAAAGAAGTATGTTAGTCTCTTTGGGGGCACATATTTTGTATATTGATTCACATTATTTAAACTGTTATAACAAAGGAAATAATCACCTAGGAACTTTTGATGTCCATTACTTTGAAGCACCTTCAAACACCTTTCCTTTAAAAGAAAAGAATAGTTAGAGTTAGACCTCTCACATCTAGGCATCTGAGCTTCTCAGATCATAGAGATGATTCTCATAATTAGTTTGTTAATTGTTGGTAGTGTCTTTAGTCAATTAGCTCTGCTACAGAGATGCTAGTTCTGAAACTACACCTGTCTTATTAATAATACTTTCATATAATGCATTAAGGTTTGTGAAGTATTTTTCTTTCAGTAGCTCTATAAGTTAAGTGTATCATGTCTTCATTGCATAAATGAGGAAACTTGAGTCTCAGAGAGGGTAAGTGGCATGTCCATGATCACACAGTTTTAAGTGTTGGAGTCCGGATTAAAACCTAGATCTCCTGACTTTAAGTCCAGTGCTTTTCCCACTACATTACATAAGCTGCCATCTCAATTCAGTGTTGTTCTTCCACTTTCGTTTCTTTCAGTTTACTTTATCTGGAAGAACATCAGACTTTCTATTCATTCATCCAACAAGTATTTATTAAGTGCTTATTATATGCCAGGCATTGTGTTAGATCCTGGGAACATAAAGATAAAACAGAACAGTTACTACCCTCCAAAAGTTTCCATTCTGAGGGAGACAGGGGAGCAGGAATACAAATAGGTTCATACAGAATATTCACTAGCAACTGGGAGGCTCTGCATAGGCCTCTTGTAGGATGTGGCACCTGAGATGCACCATGACAGAAGCTAGGGAATCAGTTGTACAAGTTGCAGATGACGAAGAAGTGCTCTGCAGGCAAGGGCAGATTGGTTGGAACATAAGCGTAGATGTAGTCTTGGGCAGTAAGCCTGGAAAGATGAGTTGGAGCCAGACTGGGAAGGACATAGAATGCCTGGCAGAAGCCCTCTCCCATGGTCCAGGGGATGAAGTATTAGTTATCAGAGGATCTGTCTTAGCATAGATTTCTTATGCTTTCTTGCTCAGGTTCTCACATTTTTGGATCGTTAATTTGATTTCAAGTTCTCTCTCCTTACCATCATTTGGAGCACTATGTACACCTTCTGTTGAGATTAGACTTTTAGAACTTCAGTATTCTTAATGTTAACTATGGTAAAAATAGGCAAATCAGAATGTTTCAAAGAAAGGTAGAGTTTTAAGAGGAACACTATAGCTTTGGGGGCAGCTAAGTGGCACGGTGGGTAGAATGCTAGGCCTGAATCCTCTTCCTTAGTTCAAATCTGGCCTCAGACACTTACTATCTGTATGACCCTGGGCAAGTCAGTTAACTGTTTGCCTCAGCTCAACTGTAAACTGCGCTGCAGAAGGAAATGGCAAACCACTCCACTGTCTTTGCTAAGAAAACTCCAAATGGGGTCATGAAGAGTTAGACTCAAATAAAAAATGATTGAACAGCATAGCTTTGGACCTGCCAAAGTGTTTTGGAAGATGATGTCTCTCCCCTACATCCATTCTAGTTACCTGTATTTTAGCATTAAAATATTTCTCTTCGAATATGGAGCAAAAGAGTTATTTATCTGTGTTTTTTTTTTTAAAGCATAGGAAAAATAATCCCTGGTCCAAATCTCTTGGACATTGAAAAGAATATCTAATTGGTTTATTTTAGTTTAAATCATTTGTGAAGAGAAAAATATAATCTCTTCTCCTGATTTATGCCATTTATTGTATCTGTTTAGAAATCATTTGTTTACCATTGAGCTATTTCACTTTTTGATCTGTTTCGCATATAGGTCCCCAACTGACAAGAAGTCAACTCAGAAAAAGCAGAAGAAATTGAGTGCTACTGTCCTACACTTGTCTAGAAATGTTCAAGAACTTCAGGAAGAGAACCAGAGCTTGAAAGAAGATCTGGACCGGGTGCTAAGCAATTCCCCTATTTCTAACAAAGCAAAAGGTATCATCTACGAATGTCATCTCTGAGAGCATTTACAAATGAAGGGATTTAGCTTCAGCTTTTCCATGAGGGCAAAGAGCAAGGATGCCATGGGAGTCCCAGCCCTCACTCTGTCCAACCACATGGCTTAGGTGGCATGTCTCTCGTATCTGAAATAAGGCTGCAAAGCTTTGGGGAGATTTTGTCGTTTGAAAAGTCTAACTATGCAGTTAATATGGTTAATTACCATTAGCAAATGAACCTTGACATAATTTGAAAAATACCCTCTGAATTGTAGCATGATCTAAGAGTGGTATTCAGGGTTTTAGTGTTGTAGAGGCGCATCTGGTGACACAGTAGGTGGATCACTGGGCCTGAAGTCAAGAAGACTGGAGTTCAAACCCAGCCTCAGACATTTACTGACTTGTGTGACCTTGGGCAAGTCACTTAACCTTTGTTTGCCTCAGTTTCCTCAACTGCAAAATGGGAATAATAGCACCTACTGCCTAGGGTTGTTGTGAGGATCCAATGAGATATTTTCAGAACTCTTAGCATAGTGCCTGGCACATAATAAGCATCTATAAATGCTTATTTCATTCCCTCTTATCACACCTTCTGCATCGATTTCTGAAAGTTTGTTGTATTTAGCCCCTTTAAATGGATGGTTCTGTTTGTTATTCCTTACTTTGTCCTGTCCATACCCTGTGTCTGCCAAACTGCCTTTCTCACTATTTTCTGCACAAAACACCTATGTCCCATCTGTGTGCCATTGTTCTGACTATGACCCATACCTGTAATGTGCTGTACCTTTTAGCATCAAAACTCTGCTTCATCGCCACCTTCGACACGAAGCCTTTCTTGATGATGCTTCTAGTGCCACTCTTCCCTTCTCCTCTTTTACCTCCTATTTATTTTGTATATACTTATTTATATATGTGTTACCTTCCCTGGAAGGACTGTTATTTTTGACTTTGTATCCTCACAACCTTGCACAATGCCTGACTTATGGTAGGGGCTTAATAAATGCTGATTGATTGTCTATTAAAGGCATTGTTGTTCCCTTTAGGTTATAGTGAATGGAGTAAACAAAGGCTAATGAGACGAATCTCAGAGTTGGAAAAGGTGAGTGACATAATTATTTTTAAAGTAGTTTTTAAGCTTTATTTTGTATTTATGTATTTATGTTTAATTTAAACTGTTTAAAATTTTTAAAGTGGCATGACTATATTTTTTAAATTATTTTTTAAAAGCTGGCCCAGCAAGTGAGATATTAGCTTTCTTGACAAATTGTGACCATTTTTACATGGTCCAGACCAGTGAGGAAGCTTTAGCATTTAGCTTTAGACCAGCCACTATTCTGCAGGGTAGAAAGTTATCAGGAACAGGACAGCTAGGTGGCTCAGTGTACAGAGCATCAGACCTGGAGTCAGGAGGACCTGAGTTCAAATCTAGCCTCAGAAACTTTCTAGCTATGTGATCCCAGGCAAGTCATTTAACTCCAGTTGCCTCCGAAAAAAAGAGAGAGAGAGAGAGTTATCAGGAACACCGAATGGTTAAGCAACTTGCACGGAGTCACACAGAAATCTTGTCTTCAAGTGGGACTTGAACCCAGCTCTTCTTGCCTCCAAGGCTGTCTGTCCAGCACATTATTAACAATAATTTATTCACTGTGTCTTCTTGTCTCTCTTTTTAAATATATTCATTTAATTTTAAAAATTCTGAAACTAACAAACACCAAATAAAATGAACATTTCCATATACATTATTAGGACAGGAAAAGATCATACATGCAATTGCAAAGCTCTTTTATGTAAAGTTTTTTTTAAAATAAATAATACATTCAGTACATAACTTTCAAAGCTATCCTGTTTATCTACAAGTCCTTTTGGTCTTTCTTGTGTTCTGTTCTCTATTTTGGGATGGTGGAAGGAGGAGAACCCAGGGCTTAGCCCCACCTCTTTTTTCCAGTCTCTTTTTAGTCAGTAAGTAATAGGCATTTCTTAAATATCTACTATGTGTCAGGCATCTATGTACTTCTTAAGTTGTGTTGCTTTTGTTTTCATATAGTTATAATGTGTAATATTGTTCTAATTCTGTTTTCTTTATATCACTTCTGTATGCCTATATTTCTTGGTATTAATAATCCACATTTGCATAGCAGTTTGACGTGTTTTCCTTACAGCAACCGCTGTGAAAAGATAACACAAGTGTCTTCATTGTACATATGAGGAGCCAGGATTCAAACATAGGTCTCTTAACTTTAAGTCCAGCAGCCCATGCTGTATTTGTTATATCATATATAATTTTTATATTACAATGATATTTTATTATATTGATTTACTATATTTTATTTAACCAATTTTCCAGCTTGGTTATATTGGGGTATTTTTTCCCTAGATTTTCACTACTCCAAAGTAGCAATAGCTGTTTTGATAGTGTCTATAGTATGTGTCCCTAGTACTGAGATTACTGGATCAGAGTTTTACAGTTTTTATTATCTACTTCTAGAGGGCTGTCCAAAATATTGTATACAAAATTCATTTCTACCATTAATGAAACAAAGAATATCTAGCAGTCCACCACCACCACCACCCCAACACCACCCCCCCAACATTGAATTTTATTGTTTTTAATTATTTGCCAATTTGATGGATATAGGGTGGTACTTAGAGTTGTTTTAATTTGTATTTCTCTTATGTTAGCGTTTGAACATATTTTCAAGTGATAATTAGCAGTTTATGTTTTCTCTTTCAGAAATTTTCTGTTCTTATGTTTGTATTAGGGAATAGGTTTTACTATCATAAACTTGCGTCGTTCTCCTGTAGATTCTAGAAAACAGATTTTTTTACTTGCTGTATTTATGTTTGAGTAGTTAAGTATTTTCCCGTTTCTTTTTATTTTGAATACATTGCTTTTGTTGTATAATATTTTTTATATTATCAAACAAATTTCTCCCATATGTTCAAAAGATAAACATTTTTCTCTTTCAAAATTGAGATGATAGATTTTCTTTTAGAATTCCTTTCCCTAATGGTTTTTATAATATTGAGTTTGTAAAACATGAATCCTATATTTGGTTCTGCTTCCTTCTTATCTCTTTTGTACTGTTGATAACGATTTTCTATTTTATTAAAGTATTTGACATTTTTGATCAGTTTCTTCTCCTGTTTCACTGTCCTTTCTGGATTTTCATGACATAGTTCTCTTCTGGTTCCCCTGCTGCTAATTTGATGGTTGCTTTTCAGTCTGCTCTACTGCATCTTCATATCACGTTAACTAACTGGGGAAAACCCAAGGCTTGTCTCGGACCCTCTCTTTTCTCTCTCTATACTATCTGGTTTGGCAGCCATGAGTGCAATTATCATTTCTTATGGCCACTGTATGGATTCTTTTTGCTTGACTATACTTATTTGTTGCAGGGGTTGTTTTCCCCTCTCTTTCTCTTGGTTTTTAATTGGGAAAGGGGGTTCGTAATAGTAATGCCAAAAAATAACATCTTTTTTTTTTATTCACAAAGGAGAAAATAAAGTTCAGAAGGAAGCACAATCAAGATAGTCATGTGTAGAATTTATTATATGCTTTTTTTTTTAAGCAAGTGGTGTGAGATGGAGAGCCAGGTTTAGTTATAGAATCCTCTTTTTATGTTTTGCTGTATGTATGGAAATACTCTTTTGGTGTAAGTTTAGAATGAAAAAAAAATTTTTAAAGAAAGACAGTCGAGGCTTTGAGACATTAAACAGCCTGCTTGAAGAATTCCACATTGGTGCAGTACAAGTGCTTTTTTTTCTCTTCTACTTGTTTATGCTGTACACAATGTTACATAGCACTTTACCAGCTGGAAAGCTTGTAAACTGACTTGAATTTCTAAATCCTTAATTACAAATCTTTACTATGGTAACCAAACTAAATCCTTTGAAATTTAATAGAATGTCAACATACTTTAAAAGAAAAATTTGAATCTTTCCCTAAAATTTCTCACAGGTACAAAGCAGATGTTTAGGGAAAATGGCAAATACCTCAAAAATAAATTTTTTTAAAAATTTAATTTATTTTTAGTTTTCAGTATTCGCTTCCATAAGAAAATAATTTTTTTCAGTTTAAGGAGCTTAAAAGTGGTTATGATTTTTTTTTTGCGTATCTGAAAAGTTTCTTTAAGTAGTTTTAGAGAAGAAGTGATAGAAATGGAAAACTGAGTTATTTCTGGCTCACATAACTAGCAGAACAAATCTTTTTCTCTTAAATCAAAAATTCAGATTTTGTAGGTTATAAGAAGGATCCAGAGAATGAAAAATAACAAGTGATGCATCAAAAGCCCTAAAGCGTGTTGGCCTACCAGCCTACAACTCATTTTTGTTCATAGCAGTCTTTGGCTTCTTCATCATCCCATGCACCTACCTAGGACTCTAAACCTGAGCTCTAATCTCTTCTCCCCTAGGAGCTCCGGAGTAGAGTGGAAAGAGGACTGGTCTTGGATTAGAAAACCCAAATTCAGATCCTGGTTCCATTCTTATTAGCTACGTATGGCTTTGTACAAGTTGCCTAACCTCTCTGAGCCTCAGTCTTTTCTCTGTAAAAGGAAGATAATACTTAGACTATCTCACAGGGCTGCTGTAAGGAAAGTCTTCTGTAAACTGTAAAATGTTACAAAAATTTAAGCTAACATTATTAAATGATCCAGAGCTAACTTTTGATTTGCATTTCTGTTGCTACCTTTTTGAGTCTGCTTATTCTCACAAGAACTTTTCTCTTTTCCCCAAAGTTATGTATTATACCAGTTAGCATTGCTAGAGCCTCAGAATTTTTAATTAATTGCAACTTTTATTCTTTTAGTATACTGTATAACAGGCAAAGTTCCTTGTGCCTTAAGCCTAATTTCCTTTTGGTTTCTTGTACTTATCCAGGACTTCATCAGATATTTGTATTATTGTAGAACACTGAGTTTAGAGTCAGAAGATTTGGGTTTGAATCCCAGCATTGCTACTTAATGTGGACCCTTGGACAAGCTCTGCCCTCTCTTGAGGCCAGTAGGAGACCTATGAAGGTCACTTCCAGCTGTAAAGCCTATGAAACCTAAGAATAAGAAAAATAATAGCTAAGTATTTGTGTTTGTTTTCAGAAAGTGGGTGAGCTCGAGAACACAGGATCTCATTCTCCAGAACAGGTCAGATTGGTTCCCTTGATTCAGTCCACACCAAACACAGCGCAGCAGGATCTGCTGAGATCTGAGCACTCTGAGGACTGTGAGCGACTTCGAGGGATTGTAAGAAAGCTGAAGGCGGACCGAAGCGCCCTGCAAGCTCAGCTGTCTGATAAAGAGTACGTCTCTTTACAGCACAGCTACCCTCTTTCCACCATGTGAAAAAGTTCTTGCTGCTTCGTGTTAAAAAAATTTTGCACCTGAAGTAATCTAGCTTTGTTTGGGAGAAATCCATCTTTATGCTAGGTCCAAAACTAGTGGTGTTCAATAAAGAATTGTTTACTATGCTGAAATTTCTTAGACTTTGGCTTCAAATTCTGTTTTAGTGGTAATAAAACATTTGCTAAGTTACCCCAGTAATTACAGTATATAAAGAATGGGTTAAATCACAGTATTAGAAAAATTACTTTAAAATGAAAATCCGGGTCACATCCCATTGTAGTGACTTCCAAAGGAGTTTCCAGTTCTTTTTATAGTGAAATTTTATCATATTTTGCTTGAAATAAACAGACCATTGACTGAATTGGTTTTTTGTTTGTTTGTTTTTTTACCATTATAACAGTATTTGATCCAATTTTATATCCTTTTCATTTTTGTTGTGAGAATTTGGTAAAGCAAAAAAAAATGTTGAATTTTTTTCCTGTTCAGTTTTCTTCCTCTGATACCTTGTTTTTGTTGCCTCTTACAGTGGCATCGCTGTTTCTTTCCTACTCTGTCTAATCAAAAATCTGGTCTAGGTTAGCATAACTCTAACTTTTAGAGATTGAGTTTATATGTATAGTTTCTGAATGTCATGCTGTTTGGTTGGCAGTCTACTTTGGTCCTGGTGATTTAGCCTGCTAAGTTCTGTCTTTTTAGAGTGCAATCACATAGAAGCCAAACCCTGTCATTCCTATTATCCTTCTGGTTGTAATTAAAATGCTGTATTTTGTGTGAACAAAGAAGCACTTTAAATTGATTCTAAATTTGAAAAATTCACATTTAAATAGGTGGTATTTAAGGTAATTGTTTTGAATAGCAAATAATTTCTGTAATCATTTGATTAAGCTAGATAATGGTAACTAAAAATATTTTAAATGAGCACTGAAATTTCCCTCTGGTCCTGTATATTCAGTTTGGAAATGAAGCAGTTACTACAGGCCAAAGCTACTTTGGAGAAGGAACTGAAAAAAGTGGAGGAGACAGAGAAAGACAGGAAGGAGAAAGAAGATAGCATGAGGTAAATGGATTGAAGTGTCCTGAATTTGTAAAGAGAATATAAAATGCATTGCTGGTGTGGTTTGAATGGGGTCAAAAAGTGCAAAAATTTGAAGATTCAGTCTGAAAGTACTGATGAGCTAAAAGCAGAAGCTGAACAGAAATATTTTGCACTGAGAGTCATCAGTAAGAAATTCTTGGAAATGATCAGTTGAAGAGGACAACTTGATTTGTTTGGGGGAGAAAAGGGAATAAATGATACTTTAACCTTTCTTTTAAAAAGGTGGGAATTTAAACAAGTCAGGAAAGGATATATTTGGTGAAAACTAAAGGATCTTTAGTGTTTGTAATGAGGAATTATATTTTTCCCCTTCTCATTGCCTATTATAACCTTTTAACCTAAGTAGGATAACACTTTTTAATGGAACTATATGGTTCCTGCTCTCAGGCTTATATCTATTTAAGTTAATGCTAGGTCTGAGTCCAAGCCAGGTTTGGTATCTGGGCCCTGTGTAATTTTCATTTTGTCTCACTAGGTTTTGGGTCTGACAAGATACATTGTTGGGGCAGCTAGGTGGTGCAGTGGATAGAACACTGGCCTTGGAGTCAGGAGGACCGGAGTTCAAATTCGGCTTCAGACCAAACACTTGACACTTACTAGCTTTGTGACCCTGGGCAAGTCACTTAACCCCAATTGCCTAAAAAAACACCCAAAAAAGCTGCATTATTAATATCAACATGACTGTGTTATCCCTAAGTTATCCCCAATGTGTCAGGATAACCTAATGAGTGCCTATTTCTCACTATGAGACATTCATCAAATTCCACCATTCAAAAGAAAGATTATGATTACAAGTAATATTTGATCTTTGCCCTTACCACTTCAGAGAGGAAATTCAGAGACTTACCAAGAAGTTGCAAGAGATGGAAGTAGACCAGAGAAAAATTGAAGGTGACCCCATGAAGATAACACATGAGGTATTGCATAGCTATGTTTTCCCTACCCCTTGTTCAGGCTCTGAAGGTCTCTCAAGCTAGTTTTAAGGGATGATTTTAACTTTTTCTCATGTTGAAACTTTTTCTTGGCTGGCTTTTCACAAATGAATTTTCTATTTGTTATCCTAACGGGTTTCTATGTCTTAAGTTATTATTTTGTAGATTGAAGTTTATAATGAATTTATTGTCAGCAAGTTGGCTTTGTGAATCCTGCTCTTACTTTCTTACTTCAAGAGTTGGTTGTGCTCTTCAGTTACCTTTCTAGAACGGTAAATTGGTAAGGCATAACAGGCAGGGATACATTCACTCTGGCACTTTGCTTCACTACTGTTCTTGAAATATGCAAAAAAATTCAAGATTATAGAATTTTTCAAATGTGTAATTGTACTCAGAGGAGAAATATATTAGAATATAACTCTTGAGAAGAAGGGATTTGGTTTGATTGTAAACATCTTGTTAGAAGTAAATTGGAAGATGGGTAGATCTCTGTGCACGTCCTAGTGAGCAGACAGATTTCCATCTGGACACACTCACACCTCTTTTCCTTCCATTTTGTTTACAGACCTACACATGTGGATTTTGAGGCACTTGGGCTTGGTTGTTAGAGGTTGTCTTTTTTGCCAGCAGGTACCCTGGCTTGGCCCCTGTTAGCCTTGAACATGTCAGAAAGATCCAACTGTCTTCTCTTAGGGAGCATCTGCTGTAGCCAGCTGATTTGCTGTATGACAGTCATCACCTCTCTAAGCATCCTCATTTTCTTCATCTGTAGAAGGAGGGGATTGGACTAGAGAATTTCTGAGGTCCCTTCTGGCTGTAACCCTCTATTCAGGTGGAGATTGAATTAGGTAAGCTCTGAGGTCCCTTTCAGTTCTGAGCTTCTGTGCTTCTCCGTTGTTTCCCTGCTAGTTTATTCTTGGACTTCTTTGAATCCACACCATAGAAAGCCAAAGCAGAACCAAGACCAGACTGAGAATTTAAACATTAAAATCCCTTAGGCTGCTCCATGCTCTGAGAGAAGCACCGTGTATGCATATGACAGAGAAGGGCAGTTTAGGCTGTGTCCCCAAAACACATACCCTAAATAGAGGAGTGGTTTATCCTGCAGAATCTTTGCTTTCTTTGGCTATAGCTTTTTGTTCATTGTTGTTAAAGGAAACTGGAAGGTTGAAATAGATTCTTAGCTGGTAGACCAATGTCTTTGGCTTCTACCTGGTACCCAGGGATCACAGATTCAATACATCTTAGTTTCAAGGCTTGGTTTCTTTTAGAAGAAACCATTTTTTTTTAAAGACTGTGTTTCTATGTAGTTTCCTGGGGGCCTTTTAAAAAATAAAGATTAATAAGCCTGAAGTTTTCTTTGTGTATGCCACCAATTGAAAATGAAATATGTATTTAGTTTTTCTTTTTCTTTAACAAAATTGATTCCCTTATATGCCACTTTTAATTTTATGGCTCCTTATCCTACAATAAGCATAGAACTATAAGCACTTCAACTCTTGGCATAGATGAAAAAAATTTGTTAAGTATTTGAAAAACCTCACTAGCACGGTTTTAGTTGCAAATTTGGATAAGCCACAAACCTGACAGCTAAGCAGGGAAAATCAGGTTTTCCCATAGTACAGGCTAGTGTGACTTCTACCTGATAGCTTGTACAGTGTTGTTTTGTTATTGACATACACACTGCTGCCTGGAGAAATGCCTATTAAACAATTTAATTCTCTTTCAGAAGGAAAACATTTTTCATTGTTGAATAAAGCATAATTTATGCACTATACCTAAAGTGTGCTTTTGTGGTGGTTTTTCCAGTATGTTGAGTTACATACTAAGTAATGCAGAAACACTCTTCCAATCTTGTGGAGAAATTAGCCATTTTTCAAAAGTTCCTTTTTTGCCTGAATGCTCAGAGTTGCTGTGAGATATTTTCTAACATCAGGTAGGATCTCCAGTTGGAAACAGAATGGCAGCAAAGCAGAGTTCAGAATCACCTACTTTGTATCCTAAGAGTATAGGAACTCTATAATCACTTAAATCACATGGCATTATATATAACCAATTTTTCCCCCTGCTTTAGGTTTCAGATAAGATTAATATTTAGCCATACATTTCTAATTATTTTTGGAGGTATTGTAAAAAATATTTACAAAAGAATGCTGACTTCAGGAAAACTTCTCAGATGACATAGAGATGCCTTTCCACATAAGCTCCAGCTGAAATCAGTGTTTGTCTTTTCCTGTGATTTCTCATAGCACATTGTTCACACTTCTTTTATGTACATATCAGGTTCTATCTTACACATCTCATCTCATATATAAATATAAGTTATCTGAGGGCAGGGACTGTGTCTTATTTTTCTTGTATCTTTTCTTGTGTCTTATACAGAGTAGGTACTTCATCAGGGTTGTTGAATGAATGAATGAATGAGGGAATGAATGAAGGCTGTCTTGGACTTGAAAAATTGTTAACTATGTGAAACCATATTGTGTATATTAATTCTCCAGTTTCCTTCAATAAATTTGGATGCTCCTCTTAGAATTTTAACCCTTTTAGAGAAAAATTCCATGTTGCTTGAGGAATAAGGATTTTCCCACATGTTTGGGAATGTGTTTTCTTAGTTTCTCTTAGATTAAAGCTCATCCCCTTCAAACTCTTCCTTAATCTCTTCCCCCATGAGATTTTCTCTAGGCCATTAAAGAAAAATGGGATACAAACACGTCTTGTCCTATTTTCTTGTCTTTTCAGCATACTGATTTGGAGACTTAGAGAAGGAATGGCTTTAGTGCAATGAATGCCTATCTTTGCACCATTGTGTTGGACCCAGTTCCATTCAGGAAAGACGGTTCTCTTGTGTGGTGTTCATTTTTTTTTTCTTCATCCTTTCTCCTTTCATTTTCTTAAGGGTCTGATATTGTGGCTGGTTATCTGAATTTAAAAGATGAAGGCTTAAGGGGCAGCTAGGTGGTGCAGTGGATAGCACACCTCCCTGGAGTCAGGAGGACCTGAGTTCAAATCCGACCTCAGACACATAACACTAGCTGTGTGATTCTGGGCAAATCACTTAAGCCCAATTGCCTTGCCAAAAAAAAAAAATGGTGGAGGCATGTATCTGGTGCCCTTTTCACACTTGCCAAGAGGTTTCATCCTTTTGCTTAATCTCAGTAATTCGGCATTGAAACTCTCTAATAACTTGATTAAATGCTGAGTTGCCGTATCCACAGGGTCTCCTAACACCTTTGCCTCCTTAATTATTGTCTTGGCTTCAGAGTATTCAGTCCTATAGTCAGCAGCTGAATTAGTCTTGGCTAAGATTTGAGGGAATTTGTCCAGTGGCTCTACAGTTGAACTCTTTGTTTTTCATTTTGGCATCTTTTTTTCTTCTAAAATTGGACAGTCTCAAACTCTTGTCCTTACAGAAACAACTTCTGCAAGAAACTGAAAAGCTGGATCATATAATGACTTTTTCTATTACCCTGTTAAAGCTTAGATCCTTATGCAGTTATATTCAAAGATGTTCACAGCAATTGCTATTTTTAGGCGTTTAAGATCCCTTCTACCAGGAGATAATCTATTGATTATTTTTTTCTTCCTAATTTGTTTCCTATTTTTTTGAATTTACTTGCTATAGACCGTAAATTTTGTAGTAAATAGGTGATAGAGAACATCTTTGAAAAATAGGGTAATAAAGTAATTGACATGACAAGTTTTTATTCCAGTAACCTTTCTTTGTTTGTTTTTGAAGCAGGGGAGACAAGAGTGTCTAGTGTTTATTCAAAGAAAGGCAGGGCTATCGGGTAGGATTGGAGTAGTCCTCTAAATAGGGAAGAGAGATCTGGATATTACTAATTGCTAATGATCATTTTAATGCACTTAAGTAGAACAATGTAATCCATCTTATTACCTCTAGCTATTGCCATAAGGAATTGAAATGTTTTATAATTTGAAAAATTAGAACTTGCTGCCAAGTTGCTTAAATCAGACTTCTTTTTCTTCAACTATGTATGAAGTGACAAGTTGCTCCCTTCAGTACAGCATCAATGTCCATGAGATTACAGTACTCTGAGGGAAGGGAGGGGTCTTTATCGGAAAATAAAGTAGGGTAATTAAACCAAGTTACAGAAGCCTCAGGAGAAATTAGGTTGGTGTGCTTAGTCAAACAGATATGATGGCAGCTAATTGTTCTGGGCAGTATTCTATTAAAAACCTATTATTGATCTGGCCTAGGCATTTGGCCTAGTTTTAAATTTATAATAGTTTTTTTGGATTGCTTCCTTTGTGAGGTCTTTTTCCAATAACTTAGTCTCTACTGAGTTTAGAGATTAGTATTTTTATTGTTAGAAATATAAAATGAAGGCTTATAGAAAGAAAATGTGTACTAGAAAGCTGGTGTTAATATGGAAACAGTAACAATTTGATGGTTGTAATGGAAAAACTTCTTTCTTCCAACCTAAACCAAAATGATATTTATCATGTTTAACCCTACCACCTGTACTTTATGTATATTAATTAAGCCAAAGTAATAACTAAAAACAAATAAACAAAAACCTAGGACTTTTCCAGTTATCATCTCTGTAACAACATCAGAAGTTTGCTTTTATTCATTAATTCTAATTTAAGAAATGATAAATTATAAACCATTTTATAGGCATAGTGACTCAGGCTCCTCGAAATAGTAGTAATGCTAGAAATGCTTCTTGGCCTCAGAAAGTTAATTCAAACTCAAAATTCTCCTTCCTCTGCCCCAACCCTAGGAAATAGCTTTCCCAACAGAAGAATTTGGCCCATCATTTGATGTTAGGTATCATTAATGTTGGCATTGATCAGTCATGGCACTAAGTAACCCAAGAAGTAGGTATTCTATTTTCCATCTTCTTTAGTGTTGCTAGCTTGCTTTGTGACCTCAGAAAATATTAATAACCTTCTCTGTTCTTTAAGTGTTCTCAAGCTATAAAATAGGGATGCTGATATTTTTCACCTACTTACTTCTTTGGGGTGTGAGAAGAATTAATTAGATAATGTCAGGAAGGCTTTTTGAAACCCACCCGAAAAAGATTGAAGTATTGCATGTTGGCAGGATCTCAGGTGATGTCAAGGTTGGTTTTTGTTTTTTTCCAACAAGAAGAGTGCTTCCAGAAAGAAGTTTGGAAACTTTAATGAAAAATGACTTTGAATCCATTTTACAGTTTGTACTTTGTTTCTCACCAAAGATTTTGTCAGGCTGATCAGTATATACAATTTTTCTCCAAATTAAAAAGCATGATCAGAATATCCTGCTATCATGCGAAGTAATATCCTGCCACCTTACCTGATAGTTATCTACCCTGCTTCTACTTATTCATTTCCTTCCATGATTCATTCTTTTCTATCTCGAATTTCTTACAGGCTCAGGAAGATGCCTTTATCTCCTCCAACATTACCTGTATCCAGACTCAGCAAGGTTTTGTATCGAGTTCAAGTAACACATCCATTCAGCCTCCCACTTTCCACTCTGATGCAGGAAACAAAGAGCACAGAAGAGATAAAGCTGCCAGAATTATCCAAACTCAGTGGAAGATATTCAAGAGAAAGGTGATATTTCCTGAAAAAAAAGTAGTTCTATGTAGCTGTCACCTCTTCCTGTTCTAGACTCTCTTGCTTCTCAAATAAGCATTCTTAGAAAAGCTCTCTCCTAGGAATTGTAGACTCTTAGAGCTGGAAGGCAGCTTAGAGAGCAGAGCCATTGATGGGTCCAGCCCTCTCATTTTATAGATGAGGCCTAACTTGGTGAAATGATTTCTCTAAAGTCACACAGGTAATCAATAGCAAAGCCTGATTCCCATTTGAGTGTTCTTTCCCACTGTCCCATGTTCTTCTACTGCTGGCACATGGGTGGGTGACATTATCCCAAAAGGTTTCCCAGTAAGAGATAGATGAGATTAATTCCCATATAAATTCTTAATCAGACCTGGAATCTACAGTCTCCAGCTTGTGTGTAACAAATATGCATTTCACATCATTTCATATAAAAATCATAGGACTTTTGCTTTGCCCATAGAAAAATAATGCTATTGACCCACAGTACCCAAAGATTGTGTACTTTTGAGTTATTTTTCTAGTAGCTAAAATGGATTGCCCTGAAGCCATTCGTACAGTCACCTGACAAGCAGATGAGTAAAATATGATTTATGAAATGATTAACTTGACAAGGCTGAGTTTTTCATGGTACAAAGCTGACTGGTACGTGGATCAACCCCTCTGACCTTGACCTCATTTCCATAGTCAACTTTACTATATCTCTGACCATATCATCAAGGCCTCTGATAACAGACAAACATTTCTAGCACTCTGATATCTGGAAATTTTCTCTCTAATTCTGTTAAAGGAATGCAGACTGGTTTTTATGAGACAAATACTATTTACTTGACCTTACTTATATAGAAAAGTATGGTTACAGAGAAGCTAAAGTTTCTAAGAATGCCAAAAAGATTTAAGTATATGTAGGCAATGTTACATGATTATGGAAACTTGTACATGAGGTAAATACTAGGAATTCAAACAATCTTAAAGCTTAACTAATTTACCACAAGAGAGGGTAGAAATTAAACTTTAACTATATATACATTGCTCCACTTGTCAGATGCTAAATATGTAACAAAAGCTCTTAGAGAGAAAATGTGATTTGTTGGGTTGTCAGTATTTTATTTTTGCTTTGTTTTGTTTTTCTAAAACAACCATGGAGTTACCTGCTTACCTGAACACTGTGATACTTATGCCCCAGTGCATGAGATTCCCCCCTTCCATAGTCCTCAAAGAGTAGTTCTAATCCCCATTTCCTGGTGAAAGGGGTGTGTTACTGTTCTGCAAATCATCGTGAGCCAGTCTTGATAGACATAACAGTGGAGCTGCTAGAGCAGTGCTTAGCCCAGAACATAGACTGTCCCTGTGTCCCTTAATCTTCAGTTTTTCACTTTCATTCGGCTTCCCTCTCTTATTTACTCTGCAGGTCTTAGCTGAATAAATGAATCAGTCTCAGCTATAGCCCCATCTTCTATAAGAAGCTTTCCTGATCCTCCTTAATGGCTAGTGGCATTTCTCTATTGATTACTTCCAATTTATCCTGAATGTGTCTTGTTTGTACATCATTGTTTGTGTGTTGTCATCCCCCCGCCCCCGTTAGACTGTGAGCTACTCAAGAGCAGGGACTGACTATCTTTTGCTTTTCTTTGTATCCCCAGTGCTTAGTACAGTGCCTGGCACAAAGGAAGTGCTTAATAAATGCTTTATTGATTAACCAACTAACAAGATGGGTTGGGGTTTTCTCTCTCCAGTTCTAAGACTTTGCTAATAGAATTCAGGTTCTGATAATTCGATTTATTTTGCTAAAGGTGCAATGTAATGTAAACCTGATGGTGCTAATACAGTCATGTGAATATCATTTGTCTTTATTGTGCCTGTTTATTATAAAACCTACACCTCTAATAAGGTGATCAGAAAAAATTCAGCCTATAAGTAGAAAGACTCAGGGCTTAGCACAGTTCCTGGCACATAGTAGGTGCTTGATAAATAAATGCTTATTACTTAAGAGTCAGTATACCTGGGCTAGGTTCCCATGTTTGTAAAATAAAAATAGTATGAAATCACAGAATCTCTGGGTTGGAATGGGCCTCAGAGGTCATCTGGGTCTAACCTGCGCCTGAATAGGAATACTCTTTCTACTATGACTTGAGAAGGGGTCCTCTGTGACCATCGTGTGAAGACCTACAGTGATGGAGCACTCACTGCTTCCCAAAACAGTCCATTCTACTCTCAGGCAGTAATATCTTCCAGTATTTATTCTCTACCTAAGAGAGATTTTGAAGATAAATGAGATAATACTTGTACAAAGCTTTGAGTCTACAGAAGAAATTTTGTTTTCTTTTAATTTGCTATATCTAAAGTCTAAGCCACAGCTAAACTTGAAACTAATAATTGGTTGGTCTCCAGTTTTGGCTTATGTCCAGCACACATTCAGAAAGTCAGCATTTCTGTAGGTATTAAGTTAGAGTTAGGAGTAGTGATGCTAAAGGTAACCACCCCTTTTAACAGTGACAAGTAGGGTCTTAGAAAATAGAAGTGACTTTGATCAAGTAATCCTAGGATAGTTCCAAAATTTATTATTCTTTTCCATTCTCTTCTCTGGGTTGTGACAATTCAACCAAATTCAACAGACGTCTATTAAGACATTTACTCTTCCCAAGGCACTCTTTTAGATGCTGGGGAGGCAAAAATGAAATAGCTCCTGCTCCAAAGGAACTTACATTCTACTGATATATTCATAGTCTTTAGCTTTTGTTCTGTAATGTGCTAGTTGATCTTTTGTCTTCTATATGCCTTGGGCCTCATCTTTGCATCATGTGCCCACTCCTTACTCCTTCCCATTATAATACAGCTCTGTCTCACTCCATTCCACATTGTCCTGGTCCTTATCCTCATCTATTTATTGTTGTAGTGATGGAAAGATCTTCTCCCTGTAATGCTGTGCTTTTTACTTATGTTTACTGATGTTTAGTTATTACTAAACATCAGCTGGCTAATGCAGTGCTTATCATCAGTGACAAACACTGATAGAGACTATTACTGATATTGAAATCCTTCACCTTTAATTTGAGAATATTTCATCAGTAGATTTGCCTTCCTATTTATGTTTTGTTTGAGTCAGGGTCATCAGTGAGTTTATGTTCTCTTAGTACTAGTTAGATAGGCAGTAGGGGAAGTAGCTGGTGATGAAGAAAGAGTTCATTGTGCTTTCAGTCCAAGTTGTGTTACCATTTTGCTTTTATTTCCACGATAACTGTGTTTTTCAGTCCTTTAGTTGATCTAATAGCAGTGGTAAGGGGAAAAAATGGAATCCCCTGGGGGAAGAATATGATTTTAAAAGACCAGAAGACCTTCTAATGTTAATTTAGAATTTGTTTTTCTATTTCAGAAAAAAGAGGCTAATCTGGATGAGGTAAGTGTGGGTTATTACACCAATAATGTAACATGAAACATCAGGGGATGTTTTAATATTGAAGTTTACTACATTTGTGCAGGTTTCAGAGACATCTCTTTAAGTAGTCATATTTTAATTAAAACAAATCCCATTATTAAATTTAGAATGAGAAAGTAGCATTAGCAATGAAATTTTTAAGGACATTTCAATTTTTTTTTCAAATATATGATGTGATTTTGATGTTTCATGATGAGAGGGGAAAATATGCAGCTCTAAACACTGTATATGTATGTGTATTAATTATGTATTATATATATGTGGATATATATATACATATACAATACACACACAGGTGTATATGTATCTATATCTCTCTATATATATTCATATATAGAGAGTAGAGAAGAAAAATTCTTCTACTCGTAGAGGCTAAGCATAGCCATCACAGTGCTTCCCCATTCCTGCCTCCATCAATCTTAGGAGTACCTCATTTTGATCCTCTTTACCTAGGCCCTGGTTTTATATCATTTCAGTAACTGCTAAAGATAACCACTCTCTTTTAACAGTGGCAAGTAGGTTGTTAGTAAACAGAAGTGACTGGCCATTGATTGTTGCCCAAGTAATCCTAGGTCAGTTCCAAAATTTATTGCTCTTTTAATTCTTTTTCTTCAACCAACTGATGTTCAGGCACTTTTCTTTATTTGTGTTTTTTTTTCACTTACATTGTATGTGACTGTTTCTTTACCTTCATCAAAAATCAGTCCTTCAGGGACAGCTAGGTGGAGCAATGGATGGCGCTTACCCTTGGAGTCAGAGGACCTGAGTTCAAACCTGGCCTCAGACACTTGACACTTACTAGCCGTGTGACCCTGGGCAAGTCACTTAACCCCATTGCCTAGCGAAAAAGCAAAAAAAAAAAAATCAGTCCTTCATCCAAATAAATCTATGATCCTGTGATCCTGCCTTAAAAAAGAACTGACAGTTATGACAAAAAAATGTCTAGACCTTGAAACTAATGTTGAGTTTGTGCTCAGTTTGTCTGCCTGTTGTTTGGTTAAAATGAGATCAGAGCTCCAGTTCCCTTGTCAAGCATTTGGTATTTTTAAGCAAGAATGAAGGTAGACTCATTCAAGGTTGGTTTATTATTAACCCTACTTTCTGTCCCAGAGATAGAGGGCAGAACCTGTGAAGTCTCTATAGTGACTTCCAGAAATAGAAAAAAAATTTTTTCTTTGCCATGCCAGAAGAGCCTGTCGGTCTCTACCTTATTTTAGAATTTGTGTGTGAAGTAGCCAGAGTCTTTGGATAACTAGACTCTAATATGAAAAGATTAGCACGTGCCTTGAGCTGTCAGATATGGGCCAGTATTAAACAGCTGGAATGTAATTACATTGAGAAGTACCATCATTTTTAGATTTTCAGTATTCAGTTTGACCATTAGGTCAAGGATCAGTGGGTTTATTCTCAGTGTGTATTGGGATATTTCTGATTGTAGTAGGTTTTGTGAGTGAGGGGGAGAAAGGTTCTTCTTAAACATTTCTGTGATTATGCAACAGTAAGGGAATTCGTTTTCTTTATAGTTCTACCTTTTCCCTCTTGAATCTGCTTTAATTTGTAGCTGCCAACTTTCCAGGGAATTAACATCCATTTCTCTCTTTCTCCCTGCTAGGCGGCTGCTGTGCTGCAGGCAGTTTTCAGGGGACATTTAGCACGGGAGAAGCTGTTTTCGAGCGATACATTCGATTCAGAATGTCCCAGTATGCCCAGCTTTCCAAATAAGGTAGCCATCAAGATGGCTGGACACAGACCCAATAAAGTCACTCTCCGTTTCTTCTTTTGGTGCAGTTTATCAACTAGGGAAAGTACTAACATTTTTCTAACTTAGACTTTTAAAGCTTTCTCACCCAGTGCGCTTAATCTAATGCTCTAGGCTATAGTGTATTTTCAGACCCCACTAATTTTGCCTCTGGCCCAGCCCAAGAAAACCTAGTTTTGGAGGTTAAATTGCTGTGGGGTGGGGGGGCTGGAGAGTGAAGTAGTATATCTTCTCTTGTTGCTAAGATATAAGAACCCTCATTTTAGCCACTACCTCCCACAAGAAAAGATTTGTATCTCAACAGCTTTCAGAGTATAAAAACCTGTAACCAGGTGGTTGCTCACTTAATAGCATCAGTAATGCACTGAACCAAGGAAGGAGATCTTGCTCTCTGTCTCTCTTGTATCCAGGGTGGTGAACCTTAACTTGACTGCAAAAGGTTCGATGTCAAACTTTTACTTTCTTCCTTTGATATCATTACACTGTAGAGATCCAGCACATCCTGCTGTTCCCCAGGTTTGGTGGCTGATAACAAGGAGGAAGACGAGGCTATTGCAGTCATCCAGTCGATTTTCAGGGCACACTCAACACGGATGGGATACCAGTAAGTCAGAAGCAGCTGGTTCAAAGTATGATTCATTTTTTTGTTAGCCCTATTTCTATATTAAGAGAAAAGAGGACTCAAAAGTAGAAAAGAGAGAACTGCCAGTGCCACAGTCACCCAGGAATAACACCTGATAGCATGTAGACATTAGGCAGATAGGGTGTTGCAGCAGGCTGTTAACATGTCAGTTATTTGTGAGCAAAGGCCATGGGTTTTGGTTTTTTGGTATTTCCAATTCTTTTGATGAACAGGTAGTACACTGTCAACATGTGGTTAGCCTTAACTGATCAGATTTGAAGAGCCCTTGGGATCTCACCATTGTGGAAAGATTCCATGATCACTTTGCTTTTTTTTGCTCTGGGGGGAAACATATGGATAATACTTTGGCTGCCTCTTGACCTAAGTAACCATGAGTCTGTAGACTTCCTGTATTATTGGGTTTTTTTAATGTGTAGTTGTGGTATTTAACAGATGAAATATCCCAAAAGGCCCAGAATAGACTCCTTCATTCATTGCACACAGACTTTTTTTTAAAAGCAATTCCATAATCTAATCTCTGCCCAGGTTTTGTAGTGACTCTGTCCAACAAAACTTCCTCCTTTGACCTGTAGTGCTCCCCGACCTTCTTTGTACCTTTGCCTTAGGGGCTGCCTGAAGACATATTGCACCAAAAGACTAGACAGGGGAAAAGGATGGTGTAAAAAGCCTGTTTATGAAATCTCAAAATCTCAACAGGCTGGGCCTCTATTTTCTCCTTTGTACAGTGAGGTGTTAGCCCAGATGATCTCTAAGGTACCTTCCAGCTCTGAACATTTCTATGCGGCCATAAACAAGCCTTTAGCCTGTTTGCTAAGGTTTGAGTTGTTTCCCCAGATTCCTCTCTTTATTCTCACAGGCAAAATAACGAGCCCTTCTTTGGGCCTCAAACCACTACAACATGTCCTTTGAAGACCTTTTTATTCTTTTTTTTTTCCAGTGAAAAAACAGCCTCTGATTCTCCCATAAGTGAAAAGAAACCTATTTCAGCAGTGTGCCAGAAATCAACCTGTCTAGCCTCTACACCATCTTCTCTTGGTAATCTCATTTTTTTAAAAAATTTAGATACAAGGGGATGTCTATTTTAAGCCAAGAGGACAGCTGCTCTAAGTTCCTTTTTGTACAGGAAAATAACAGGGCCCAAATAATTCTTTAAACACTATACGTTGACTGAGGTTTATCTTTGACACTGCTTCGAATTAACACAGTTCACCCATGCCTTTTAAAAATGTACCCAGAAGAAAAGAACCCCAATTTATTCCCATTACTTAGTTTGTAGGAATATTTTAATATTAATTATTAGGGTATCTTATTTATTACTAGCCTAATCTAGTGTGTCCTTCCTTCTGTTTCTCTCATTTTTAGACCCAGCTCTTGCTGGGAAAGAGTAGTTTCTCTGCCTTGACTAGTGGCTTTTTTTTGCTTGTTTGTTCTTCAAGAAAAATATCTCTTTGAATTTCCTTTCCTGTTTCACTAAAGCTCAAAATAGCATTATACTACAATTAGTAGATTACATTTGGCATCCTAACTGCATGATTCTTTCCAACCCTGTAAATCTACGAATGAAGCACAGGCTTCTGTCTGCCCATTGGGGAACAATAATATATTGAGTTCCTTCATGTGCCGTGTCTGATGTGAATATCAGAATAATGCTAACTATGAGCAATTAGGAACCATTTGATTTTATAAGTAAGACTTTTAAGATGTAGAGATACTATTCAACCACAAAATATAGTCTTTGGATTTTCATTTGTGAACATGGCACTGAGGGCAAACAGGGAGTAGAGAGGGATCCTCTAGTGTGGTGGTGTTTAAGACTAATAGTCTTATTCTCACTTACTGCTATTCAAAGAGTCGATCCCATGGAGACCATTACAGGCTTTAGTGTAATTCCTTCTAATCTAAGAGATGGTGTCACCTCTTGGAGGGGGTGGAGGGCAGGGGTATGTAGATATGGAACTTCCTCAATTAATAAAATGGAAATGTACAGAGAAAAGAGATCAGATCATTATAAATCCCAGAGTTTTGTTTGCTTTGCCATCGATCTTCATCTTTGAAGCTTCTGACTTTTGAGTTATTCTAGGTAAAGAAGATAGTGAAGTTAGTAGTGAAGAGACTATAGAAGAATTACCAGCTGATGACGATGAGAGTATGCAGCCAAAAGAGCTTAAGGCACTGGTTCGTCAACCCTGTTGTGGTGAGTTGCCAAATACATTCATTGAGTGTCAGGGAAGAAGTCTTTTCTTTCACAAGCACAGTTAGGGTTTCTCAGGCACGTGGAATTGTTCATTTGTTTGCTGACTGGGAAACATCATCCAGTTGAAGGAACAGACAAGATAGTTTTGGTGAGAGGACAGGACAGCTTTCTGGTCTGAGTAGACAGGAATTACGACCTGTCCCTTAGTTCCTGGGTTCCACATCTGCACTTCCTGACTAGCCTGCCATGAGCCCCCAAACAGTGAGCTCAGGACATCATTCTTGGAGATGGCTGCCTTTTAGCTCATATTTCTGTCCATTTGCACCAGTGTTCCAGCTCTTCTGGAACTCAATTCTGAGACTCTTAAATCTGACCAAATTGTCCAGGCAGTGGGGTCTATGGAGAGAACGCTGGACTTGGAATAAGGAGGCCAGGGTTTGAGTTCTGGCTTTAACCATTACTGACTGTGTGACCATAGGGAAGTCGTTCAGTCTGTCTGAGCCTTTGTTTGCCCATCTGTAAAGTAGGAATCACAATACTTGCATCTCACTGGATTGGTGTGAGAAAAGCTTTGTGAACCATGAAATGCTAGAGAAATGTAAGTTGTGTTATCAGCAATGCTAATAAAATCTAATCAGTGTATGCAAGGTGTAATGGACAGAAGGCCAGCCTTGAGTCACAGAGACCTCGGCTCAAGGCCTTCTTCTGATACACACTAGCATAGTGATCATGGACACATCACTGAACCTGCCTGTGGCTCAAACACAGACTAAATCACAGATCTCTCTGTCTGTCTCTGTATCTCAGTCTGTCTCTGTCTCTCTCTAACTCTGTCTCTTTCTCTGACTCTGTCTCTCTCTCTGCCTGTCTGTCTCTGTCTCTGTCTCTCTCTCTCTCTGTCTCTCTCTCTCTCTCTCTGTCTCTCTCTCTCTCTCTCTCTCTCTCTCACACACACACACACACACACACACACACACACACACACACACACAGAGGCATATACATATGCATAAGAATTTAAAAGAAAGGTCTACAGATGCTTCAGGCACAAAAAGCTCAGTTGGCTCCCCATGTGCTAGGGTGCAAAGAATGTCTTCCGATAACTTTCAGACTTCTAAGTAACTCTGAGTAGTTTAGCTTCTTACTGACTTTTAGTGGCCTTTAGAATTTTTTTTTAAATCAGTGCTACATATTTGTGGGAGAATGTATTTGTACTCCTCATTAGTCTTCTTGTTAAATAAGAGCAACTCTGAAGTCATGATTTATTCTTATGCCTAAAATTAATGTGTATTCATGTCATTCAGATACTTTACTTTTATCATTCTATTTTCACTTAGGAAATGAGTCTGTAAGAAAAACTAAAATCAAAACAATTTGGTGTTCAAGCTGTTATTTAATCTGATTATATGAAACTTTTTAAAAGCCTTAAAAACAAAACAAAACAAAAACCCAACCTAAATCTAAGCAACTTTGAAGGTTGATTTTTAAAATTTTGTTAGATTCCACTTTAATCTTATTCCTTTTATTTCCCTGAAAGTTATAAAAAGAGAGAGAAAGAACAATTACAATATCTGAAGCAGGATTGAATTGTAATTTTATTCTCTGTATCTCAGATATCATAGTTGCCATGATCAAAGAATTCATCATCAAATGGTCAACCTGTTGGTGATGAACCTCCCTAGAATTGGTCCTCGGGAAGCAGTCCTGGTCTCTTGGTGGAACCACACTCATATCTTGTACTTAAATCTTTATGAACCAGTTAGAGAGATATCTTTTTCTTGGTATGTGGAAAGAGAGTTCACCTTTTTCCAAACAATTTTATCAGTTGGACTGTTGAATTTGAATAGCAATTATGTTGTTTTTTAAAGAGTCATAGTCTTGATGGAGTTATCCAGAGTAGTGTTTCAGAATGCCCTCCTTCCTATTAGTTCTGTAGAATTATTTTCTGGGAATAGGTAAAAGGTTTTGGACGTAATGCAGCTGAGAAGAAAAAGAATTATAATTGTGATAGAGTATTTGGAGAGATGATTTACATCTTTATGAATCATCTTTTCCTTTTTTTATTTTATGTAAGGTATGACTATAATGAAAAGTCTTTAAAAATATATGTACTGGATCTTAAGCATCCACATGAGTGCAGTCTTTTTCAAAATGACAGTCACTTTATTTCAGTGTCCTTCCTTATTGAAAATAAGGTTAGAATTCCTGCATAGGAGTTGACTTTGGAACCTTTCTGCTGCCCGTTCTTGTATTTTTTTTGTTCATTTTATTGTTATGTCTTGTTTTTACATAACTTTTATTTCTAAATATATCCCTCTACCTCCCCTACCCAGAAAGTTGTACTTTATAACAAAGAATAAAAAAGAGGGAAAAAAGAAATTCAACACAGTTATCCAACATGTTACCCAAGTCTGGTAGTTCATGCAGTGTTCCACACTCCTAGTCCCTCACGTCTGCAACAGAGGGATTTTTCATCTCTTCTTCAAAGCCAAACTTAGCTATTATAATTATGTGGCACTCAATTTCATTTCTTTTGGTCTTTCCATTTACATTGCCATAGCTATCATGTGTTTATTTTCCTGATTCTGCTTACTTCATTTGGGATCAGTTCACATAAGTCTTCCCAAGCTTTTCTGAATTCTTCATACATGTTTCTCATGGTGCAATAATATTCCATTACATTCACATACCACATTATTCACATTGTTTAGCTATTCCTCGTTAAGAATCTGTTTTGTTTCCAATTATTTGTTACCATGAAAAGTTGACACATTCTTTTGAATAGCTTTGGTGATAGCAAACTTTAATTGTTCAAGTATAGATTTAATTCATTAAAATAGCTCAAAGTCATTGAGAGCCAAGTCTAAATAAGGTGGGTCATAAAATTGAACTCTTTTCCACCTATTATTGCTAAAGTTGAGTTCTGCAATGTGCATGTGTGCATTTTTAAAGGTGTGATACTGCAAGTCAGTTCACTCTTTGGTCCTCAGTTTCCTTCCTCTGTAAATTGAGGGGTTCAACTAGATGACTTCTAAAGTTTCTTCTAATTCAAAACTTGTGGTCCTATAAAGTCATGCCTCACCGCCTGGTTCTGAAGATAATTCTTAAGAATCATAGTTTTAAAGCTGTAAGGGACCTTAGCAATCTTCTAGTTCAACTCCCTCATTTTACAGATGAGGAAAATGAGGCTAAGAGAGAGTAAGGAAGCCTGCTTCCTGGGATTCCCAGTGCAACACTCTTTCTGCTCTGCATCCTCAGATGACTGCGTTAAAGGACAGCACTCATTTTGTTGCATATATTCTGGCACAATTGTTATCTTAAGGACAGTTGTGTTCCTTAGCCTGGCCTCACCTGGAAGGGACTGAAGCATCCCACTTTGACTTGGCCTATTTTGCACTGGGTCCATTTTCCCCACTGAGATATGGTCCTGGTGCTTTTAGCTCCAGATTCATTCATTTGGAGATAGCATTTGTAATGACTTGAAAAGATTTCTTGATAAAACCAAGTAATCCTGGCTAGCAGTCTATGTTGTACTGTTTTTTTTTTTGCTCCTGCCTATAGGGGGAGAACTGATGGTGTTTGTGTATCTGAAATGAATGTTGTTTGTTCTGGAAGTTCAGTTGCCTGTAGAGAATTGTTTCTTTGAGGAGCTTATATGGTGTTATTGAATCTTATTTTCTTTGTGGTTAATTTCAGCTGTTTCCTCCCATACCCGATTGCAGTCCATTGTTGCTCCACCAGTGGATGAAGTAACCTCCGATGATTCCGATGATATTGTCATCTCTCCATCTCTGCCCATGAAGAAAAAAAACTCTCCCCAGGTTTAGCTCTAGGCTTTCATTATTGTTCACAGAAATTACCCCACACATGAAGCTGTTCTTTATTTTTTGGATGAGGTTAAGGCTAAAAGCACATAGGACTATCTTGAGCCCTTATTCTCTAATGCTGGCAGAGCAGTTTGATTGGTAAGGAAATGACATCTATTGATGTAAGGCACCAGGCTAGCCACAATGCAAAAGTTATGATGAGTGGTAAAGGATCAAAGAAAGCTTTAGGGAGAGTCCAGGGTAGCTTTCCCCTTTGTTTTTGAAAGCATCATTATCAGCATTATTAGCAGATGAGAGCTATATTTCAAAGTACAAAAGCTGAATTTCAGATTCTTGTATTAGAGCTCTTGTGGGCGTGATACCTCCCACATTCCTGGGTGTATCCACTCACCTGCTTTAGAGCTCTATACTGTACAACTCTTTAAAGTGGAACTGGTGATTATGTCACTGGGAAAATAAAAATTAAAAAACACAAAATTATAAACCAAAGAAGCTACATTAAAATTACTTTTGAAAATGTATTAGATTGTCTTAGCAAGGTGGCCTTACAAAGTCCAGCTGTTGGTGTGGCAGGCTGAGGAGAGAAGAGGAAAAGTTACTGATCACAAAGTGCAAATGAAATCCTCCCTGTCCATTCTAACATATAAAGAGTCCTTGGGTTTTTCATCATCAGTTGTTTTGTTCCTGCTGCATAGTGAAGATCACTCTTAAACCTTGAGCAGCCCTAGTCCTTGTAAAGGCCATAACTAGCAGTAGGCCAAAAGCTGAATTCCTGCAGAATCCTGCTGCACCAAATGGAAAGAGCTGCCATACTTGGAAGGAACAGCTGAAACACTAGGGATTGTGTGTGTCAGAATAGCACCTCATCTTCTATGAGGAATATTTTTTTTATAGAACTGGTTGAAAAGTGAAAACTTCATTCAAACATCCAAGTCTTTTTGCTTTGTTATTAATTTTCATGGTGTCAAATAATTGTTCCTTGAAGAAAAAGAGTTTTTGACTAGTGGCTTGCCTGAGCTGATTGGTGGTTTTAGGATTTGGGGGATTCAGTCTCACGTTTGTTTTCTTTATGATCTTCCTCCTCCTTCCTTTCACTAGGTTCCAGAGCTAATCTGTTCAATTAGGCATAAGTACCAGGAAGATTCAGTTAAATCTAAGAAATCCTTTCCTGTAACTGCTCAGTCAGTATAGGTTAAAAATTAAAATTTCTATTTACTTCTGCCCCACTTAAAAAAAAATTTATTCAATTTCTTTCTGCGTCTGCTTTTTAACTCTTAGGAATTAATGATCCGAGAACTTATTTATAACTTCCTGGGGAGAGGGTGAGGGAAGGGAATGATAACCTTCCTTTTCCTATTAGGAGATTTGGTTGTGTCTACCTTTGAGCCCAAAACTTCTTGTCCAGATAAGGCTGTGGATGTTGACAGGATAATAGGCAACTGTCAACCCAAACAATGGTTACTGGGGCAGACACGCTCAACATGCTTCTGTCAAGTCAGAGAAATTTGATTCTTCTCTGGAATGTCAAGAGTAAGGCTGGAAGGAAGTACAGATGACCTAATTTATAATGTGATCTGTAAGTGTCTTTTGAAGTAATAAATTGGGGAAAGCCCAACCCATTTTCTTCAGCATTTCTGATATGATAAGAGAATTATCTTTGTTAGTAGGTTTAAGTTTTCAAGTGGATACCAAGTAAGAATTATAAATGTAATTATTCTTTCTGTATGTTATACTTCAGTATTACATTTAAGGGCTTTTTTTTTTGGAGGAGAGGAAGTAAATATGTAAGTTCAGTCCTTCAGCTACCTGAACTCTATCCACAACCAGACCTCCAAGGGAATAAGTGCTCTTTACATTTCTGTCAAAGGAATAAAATCCCTTTTAGCAGAGGAGAGGCATGTACTACTCTGGTTTCCTGAAATGCCTGTGCTCAGGGATTTCAATAACTCTCTTCCTGAAGAAAAGCATAGGATGTTGTCAGTTGCTGGTGTGTCTTAACGGTTGCCATTCTATGTATGGTCCTTTCTGTTGTGTGCTATTTAAGTTAAAATTGGCAGAAAAAAGCTGCTGCTAGTAGTGTTTGGCAGGAAGAGAAGATGTGCCAAACCCAAGTGTGACTTGTGGGTATGAAGAGAAAAGAAAGCTTCTCAGGCTGACATGCCTAGCTGAAGAAAATAGGCCTCTTTCTCCAGATTGTGCATTTTCCTTCAGTTGAAACAGAATCTCTCTTAATATTTTGCTGCCTACAATATGACCCCCTCCACGATCCATCTGTGTACTTGCACCCTTATTTGAGTTCCCTAGGAAATTGTCCATTTTACCTGCGCAGAAAACAGCTGCATTTATTGAAAGTCATTTAAGAACCTCAGAAGAAAGCCAAATGCCTATATGAGTGTTTCTGGATCAGTCTCAAGGTGAAGATTTGAGCAGTGAGAATTCTCACTGTTTGTGGAATAAACTAGGACCTTATTCCTAAAGATCATGTTTTCACATTGCAAGAGCCTGACTATATTCCGATAGTCTCCATGAGTAGGCTCTGGCTTGACCACCCACCTGAAGATGGTGGCTTATTCCTCTGATGGGAGAAGGACTTGTATTACTACCTTCTACATCCTCTCTTGGAGAAGGAAATGGCAAACCACTCTGGTATCTTTGCCAAGAAAACCCCAAATGGGGTCATGAAGAGTTGAATATGCCTGAAAAACAACTGAACCTTCTCTCTGGATAGAACTGCAGATCGTAGGCCTACTTGCTTAACATCTTTCACCCCAACACCACTGTATTACCTTGAAAATATAAAATATATAAGGAAAGAAGCAAAATATTATTTTCTGTTCTTATTGTATAAAATGTTTAATTTTGAAGAGAAAAAAAAACAAACTTTCTCAATCTCAGATATCCTCTATAACTAGAAGTGATGGTATCCTCTGTGAACAGAAAGCTTAATTTTAGATATGGAATTTTTCATCACTTTTCTCTCAGATGTGTGTTTTTTTTAAATATCAATATCCATTGTTGAGATGGTGCCTGATAAAGTGATGCCTCTGTTGAATTTAAGGGATTGAAAGGGCTTTTTATCTATGGCTTATCATAGCTCACACCAACATTCTCAGCCAAAGGAAACTGGATTGCTGCTTCACAATGAGGCTGCTTCCATTTTATCCCTTCACTGGAAATACTGTCTGAACAGTTTCCATAGGCTGCTGCTAGCAACCCTCCATCCCTACTGCTACCCATTGTGTGGAACTGACCTTCCCCACTGGATGGATTACCCCTGCTGAGCTTTCACATCCATAATTGTTCTCTTCCGTAGGGATGGGGGGAAATACCCTTGTCAGAAGCTGGGGACAGGTTGTTCCATTAGGTTTTCTGTAGATGCCCTTAGAGTTATGTGGGAGTGATTTATAATTAATCTAGGGGGTAGTACATCTATATGGATTACTTGCTTCAGATTCACCCACTGGGCCTGGGGATACTGGGAAAAGAATGGGGGGAGGGGTGCAAGATAATGTGGAATATGCAGGTATCAAGGCCAAAGTGATATAGCTTCACAGTCTCTTCTGGGTAGGGAGCTGTTTAGATGATGCAGACGATTAAAAGGGGACTCCATTACTGAGTTAGACAGTAATGAAAAACTATTATCTGCACGTTAGAATCCATTACAGGGACACTCGTTTTAAAAAACTGAACCGTAAAATGTTTTAAATGGAGTTAAATCTAGGATTCTAGAAGTATTTGTGTTAGCATCTCGATCTCAAAAAAAGGAGAAACTATTGCAGTGGAAGGTGTAGTCTGGCTGCTTCCCATTGGAAAAAGGGATTTGAAGGCAAAAGGAAGAAGTGCCCACTTAGAGGAGGGTCAGACTAAACACTTTAGATAGGACATGTCTTCCGATAGACTATGAAATGCGATAGCTATAAAACTGCTTAGAAGTGATGATGGCAAGTGGGGTAAAAGTATAGGGGGAGGGGGAAGAAGCTTAAAATGTTAGGAATGTTTACTTTGGGGGGGGCGGGGGTTGAGGCAATTGGGGTTAAGTGACTTGCCCAGAGTCACACAGCTAGTAAGTGATATGTGTCCAAGGCCAGATTTGAACTCGGGTCCTCCTGAGTCCAGGGCCAGTGCTGTATCCACTGTGCTACCAGCTGCCCCTACTTTTTTTTTTCTTATACCATTCTTATTAAAGAAACATTGCAAAAAGAAATTAGTGATTCTGATTAAGAGGATTTCATTTGACCTATACTTGCCATTACTCCCAAAAAGAAAAACAGAAGAAATGTAACCTTGGTTTTCCAAATGGATCAGAGCCCAGTCTCCTCCTTTTCCTCTTTCCCAGCAACAATTGAATTTAGGAAAAAGATAGACCAACTTGGCTTGGATCTATCAAGACAGGTCCAGCCAAGAAATAAATGCTCCCTGCAGAAAAGACCAAAGACTTGTAAAGTCTTTAAAGTACAAATGGAAATTATTTTCTTGTTATGGAAGCTCTGTCTGCACAAATGTTGCTTTTCTTCCATAATCTATAGGGATTTACAGTAGACTTGAGGAAGCAAGCATGATGCCTTGGCCAGATTGTGGACTTGCATCTCTCATGCCATCACCTTTTCAAGTGCCTATGTCCTAATAAATGTGGGATGCTGTTTTATCTAGTCCTGTGTTGATCATGGTTAATTTTTTTTTTAAGTTGGAGAAATTAGGAAGACTCTAAAAAGGATGAAATGTAAAGCTATTAACTTGGATTGCTAGAAAGAGCATTGCTTTTCATGGTTTCTTAAATTTTTTATTTAGAACTGTTCTAATATTGTAAATTTATACACAAATCTCTTGGAGTGGGAAAGGTTTTTATTTTTCCTCTCATCATTAGTCTTTATAAATAAAAGTTGTTTTGCAGAATAATTGTCTTGATTGCCCTATAAATGGTTCTTCTAAAATTACTTCCAGGTGTACTATTGCATTAATTCACATGGCACAAAGGCTTTAGAAATCCCATTTTCCTGGACTTACACAGTTTTGTTCCTTTCATAACATGGGTCCTGAAATTTAGAAATAGGCAGGATATTGATGTGTCTTTCTCTTTGCCAACATAAGAGGCCTACTTGAACTGGTGGCTCCTTGATCCATCTTTTAATCCTCTGTCCAGTGCACACTAATGAGGAGAGGAGCTGAAAGAAACTGAAGAGTCAAAGAGTATTTCTGCTAATTTGACTGAATATGTTTCAGGAGCAGTTAAGAAGCCTTCCCTTGGAATTCAAACAATATTCATAGAACTGTCCAAGAAAACAAACATACAAAAAAACCCCTGATGGGTTTTATCTCCTGTATTTGTTTTCCTTTGATTGCAAAGGGCAGTTGCAACAAGGTGATTTCAGATTAAATTTTGTACATTCCCTTTCCATTCAACTGCTCGCTCTGACCCCTTAAATCCTAGGTCTGTGTTGATTTGGTTCCTTCAAGATTGCCTTGTAAATTGTCCCCGCTGTTGGGAGGCTGGGCAGTGTTCTCCAGTAGTAAGTTGCTCCCTTGGAAAACTTTGTGATTTGCCCTGAAGACCTGCAGGCTTCTGCATTAACTAGAACGGTCTGCCAGACACAGAGCTTTAGGCCTCAAACCTGTATCTTCCCCAAGAGTTCCTTTATTTCAGTGAGGCTTATACTTATTAGCAGAAAGTCAAATTCTATGTTGTGAGTGTTCTGCACTGGAATTGTGGAGGGTGGGACCACCCACTCTTAGCATGCATTTAGCCATTTACAAATGATTTAACAATTAGACTTTCAGGGTTCCCACAATGAAGAATTTCCATTCTTGCTGTAGACCTTTCTCCAGATGGGAAAGGAAAAACCCACCGTGTGCCTCTGAGAACAT